TGTGTTTGCATGACTGTGTTTCGGTTTGAAGGGGATATGGCAGTGAATTTACAAGGTACAAAGGAATAACACCTAAGTCCTCAGGAATGACAACGCATGGAGGGTATCATGGGCGAAACAGTATACTCTGTTATGTCCATGGTACCGTTCATGTCTATATGTTCGGTTATCACTTTCCATTAGATGAGCTGTCAGCTTGTTTGCCATTCTAAGTTGTAAAAAAAGGATAAACCGAATGAAAATAATATGAAATTTAGTAATACAAGATATTTTTGTACCTACTCTGCCAAACCTTACAACTCAAGTCAACTTTTGTCTCAACTTACTTTTAATAATTTAAAAATAAGTTGAGACAATGCAATTGGCAAAAAGGAACACATAAGTCCCGACATAAAATTAGAATTAATAAAATAAAGCCATAATATCGAATTCAAAAATAATCATTGAAGAAAGTATCGCATAATATATTTTGTTACGCGATAATAGGTATATTAAAAAATTACAAGCGAATTGTGAACGAACTTTCTTTACCTATTCGTACGATTTCTCTGAAAATACATATTGTGTTAAGAAAATAACAAACTCTATTTCATCTCGTAAATAACCAAAGTGGAATTACAAAATGTTAGTACTTACAAAGAAAATTTGTTATTTAAATTTAATTTGAACTTCCTTGAAATTTATGTAATAAAACATGTTGTTTCTATTAATTTTAATTGTATAACAACTTCCAAATCCTTAGGAATCGTAAATATTTACAGCGAAACTTTTTTATATTGACATACCAACAGTTCTTTAGACAGTGCTAATGGGCAGTTTTACAATTTATCGGAGCACGGCATGATATTGTAGAATTATATCATTACGATATAATTGGAGAGCAAAAGTACATTTTGTTCTCCAATTGTACAATTACATACAGTAATTGTATAAAGACCCTTTTAAATATCTGTGTTCATCCATGATATTTTCATGGAAATTTAAAAGCATCTTTACATAATGAGCGGTTTTATATTTTATCTTCGCACAGCATAATATCGTACGATTGTATCATCACAATATAATTAAAGAACAAAATGTATATAGTCTTGTAAGGAGGCACTTTGAAAATTCCAAGCTTACAAACGATATCATTATACTGTGCACATCCACAAAATCGTGACGGTGATTTAAAAACATTTGTTCATAATGGACGCATTTATAATTTATCTTAATACAGTATGATTATTATTACAATCAAACTCCTTTCCATCCAATGGTTGTCTGGAAGAGATCGCTTTTAGCGATAAGGTCGCCCATTGTTTTCTCACTGTGATTATTTCTTGTAATTGTTTATATCTAGAATAAGTTTACTGTTGTAATCTTTTCAAGTATCTATCTATGATATCGTACAATTTTATCGTCACGATATAATTGGTGAACAAAATGCACTAAGGAGGCATAATTAAATTTGATGTGGAAGATTAAAAGCATCTACACATAATTGCATACATTTTATTTTATATATCTTGAGAGTTGTGAAGGTAAAATCAAAGAATACCGTGCTCTATTATAGCAAAATTGTAATAAATTATAAAAGCACCACTATTAACTGTGTCTGTGTCTACGAAACCATAGTGGTTATTTTACTGAATTGAGTATTAATTTAAGTACGTTTATCTTACGGGTCACTTGATGATTATTATTTTATTTAATTTTGCTACCACTGGCATTAAAAAAGCTACCAAGTTTTAATGTGGATACCTAAGCACTAATAGTAGAGGCTCTATGACTTCTTATCAGTTATCAGTCTGTTGTCATTACTAATCGTCATAGTATGGATGTAAACTTGATAGGGAAGATCGTCGTACCTCCATTAATGGTAGTCAGTCCTTTGAACTAAATGATTGTAGTTTCCCGCATACTAATAGTAGCGGAATTAAATAAAATGAATCGATTTAACACATACTAATTAAACGAGATATATATTCAATAATTATTTATTAAACTTTAATACACCTAGAAAATGTAAATGGCGTACTTTTTTTTTATACAACTTAGAATGGCAAACAAGCTGACGGCCCACCTGATGGAAAGTGGCAACTGTCGCCTATAGACATGAGCAGTACCATGGACATAACAGAGTATACTGTTTCGCCCATGATCCCCCCATGCGTTGCCATTCCTGAGGACTCAGGTGTTATTCCTCTGTACCCAGTAAATTTATGCCATATCCCACCTTTCAAATCGAAACACAGCCATGCAAACACAACTACTTCACGGTCTACCAGTCTACCGTAGACAGGGATAACAGAAAATAAAATTGAGGGTGCAACTTAATAAAGAATATTAAATTAAAACAGTAATTAAAAAATAACATACATATAATACTCATATTTCCTATCACACAGGCCATCTGTTTTCTACCGTGAAGCAGTGGTGTTTGGATGGCTGTATTTCGGTTTGAAGGGTGTATGTGATATGACTGTGAACTTACAAGGTACAGAGGAATAACACCTCAGTCCTCAAGAATGGCGACGCATAAAGATATTATGGGCGAAATCGTATACTCTTTTATATCCACAGTACTGCTCATGTCTATAGGCGACGGTTACCACTTTCCAACAGGTGGGCCGTCAGCTTGTTTGCCATTCTAAATTGCATAAAAAAATCTGTTTTTAAACTGAACAATCTCTGTTTTATGAATACTAAACAAATAAAACAAAACGCGTATTTCTTTAACAGAATTGACTCTAACAGGAAAAATCATGATGCATTGAGTCCCTATATGTCAAACAAAACGTCGAAACATAAACATGCGTATTCAAAAATACAAATATTTGTATTACAGGGATCGAACTCGCGACAATTGTAATGCAAGGTGGGGTTTTTTTTTAATGAGTGATAATGGTATGGTAACCCCGTCTGCGCTATCGATATACACTGGCAGGGCACCAGTGATAGATAACTGATGAGGATGAAAGCAGATCAATTAGCCCATCCTAACGAATTCAACTAGAATTAGCCACGTTTGCAAGGGGAACCACGTGGAGATCGACCTGACAGGGTATATTCCTAGTAATGGGGCTATTTGACCCCATAACAATCCCTTTCCCCCTGTAAGGTGGGGTTAAACCGTTATACCATCAAGGTAGTCAAACACGACTAACCAAATAATGTTCGTATTCTTCATTTCATAACAATTGGTTGAGTCATCAAGGCGCCAAAAGATAACAGACTCTTTGTATTTTATGATATTTTTTTTAATTAGTGATAGTAGTAACTACATTATCGGTATATGCTGGTGGGGCACTAGTGATAGATGACAGGTGAGGATGAAAACAGTTCAGTTGGCCCATCGTGACGAATTTAAAAAGAATTATCCACGATAGTTTCAAGAGGGAACCGCATGGAGGTCGACCTGATAAAGTATATTGCTAGTAATGGGACTATTTGACCCCATTATTAACAAACGAGATTCCCCTAAGATGTATTAGATAATTATAAAAGATATATTTCACGTTTAGGAACATTCCGCATGAATTAGCATACATAACATATATAATACAAAATAGCTTATTAACACCTCATTACCAGCCATAAGTCTCACCTCATAAAAAGTATCAATTGTATTGGTATATCCCATATGCCATAAATTTATTTAATGGCCCATAAATTTATTTAAATCCGTCAACAATTATGATTAAGTAACAAATATCTAAACAAGTGTATTCACTAATTCATACTTGTACATTTATAATAGAATTAATTTCTTTTATATACCACTGAGATGGCAAACAAGCATACGGCCACCTGATATTAAGCAGTCACCGTAGCCTTTGAACGCTTGTAATACCAGGGGCATCACGCGCGCGTTGCCGACCTTAAAAACAGTTCTTTATTAGTTTTTTGAAGAATTTAAGTTTTTCCAAGGGACTACAGTTCCTCTACAGAGAACTTATTCCATAACCTGAGCGTTCGTGGGAAGAAACGTCTTTGAAACGGCGTTGTATGCGTCCATCTAGGCTTCAAGGTATGAGGATGAACTCTGTCGATGGCGAGCTGTTTGATGGTAGAAAGTAGCCGTGGACAACTTATTGAACAGCTGATATTTTATTTTTTTATTAATTACCCTAATTCCTTCAGTAAAGTAAATATATGTAAAAAAATAACCTCATGGATAATAAATAAAAGATTTCCAAAAATTTCGGTGGTAAGCAAGAGTTATGGGTTCGTGCAGACAAAGCCACGACTAACAACTTGTTTTAATTTGTTCTATAGATATCATTAACTTAGGTTTTCCTTTATAAATAGTGGAACTATTTTCCTAATTTATAGGAAATTATAAAAATGTTGTTTCAATTTATTGGAATGACTATGGTATTTATATATATACTAACTTGTAAAGGATCTGATCCGAAAAGTATAGACAGAAGCGAACCGAAAGCAAATATACTGTGACTGCCTACTCTATTTGTTCAACAACTTATCATTTAAGACTTTATCAAAGAATATTTACTTGTATGTGGTTCTTTTAGCTGCTGGAGGACATCTTTTTTAAATCAGCAAAACATTATAATAATTATCTTTATTAATTATATATTTTATAATATAAGTTTAACTTTTTCCTAATATAATTTAAATTTATAGCTTAAAATTATTTTAAACATACATAAAAATTACAAATAAGTTTATTATTATTTAAAAGAAAATATAAGTAAAGCAACGTGTAAAAGTGTTATGGATAAAAGTTTCGTATGAACTAAAATTATGCATTTAATTCTTAAGATTGTCTGGAAGAAATTTCTTTTTAGGAGATAAGTCCGCCTGTGTACATTTTTGTTATAACCTAATATCTATACTATAAATGAATGTATAAAAACTAATAAATATTTTCTTTCTAAAATACTTTCTATGTGCAGATATCGTCTAGTTACAATTTTATTATATTAGTAAGATTAAACATAATATCTATTGTAGGTAAAAAACTATACTAGTCTCTGAGTAAATCACCTATAATACCCACACATATGTAGGTATGTACGTGATATTTTAAGGTAAACAACGACTATGTCTCGTTTCCACATTACTTTAAGTGATGTACTAGTGTCCGGTTGGTTATTCACACCACGTGTACAGGTATGGTGCAATCTTATTATTATTGTAAACTACTATCATTTATGTGATCTTATAAAAACTCAAAGATTTAAAGTAAAACCAGTAAAAAATATAATTAAATATAAAATATGTACAATTCGCCGTCGCCCAAACAATAAAATTGTAAATCACATTAGCATAGTTTTATTATTAATAAATGTTTGAGATCTGTGGACCATAATACGCCTAATTATTTTTTTAGTATAATTTCTACTGTTAAGTAAAAAGTTTTAAAATATTATAACAGATATTTATTGCTTTTTTTTCGAATAATATTAATATGTATTTTTACGATAATATTCTTGTTCAAATAATTCGTGCAATAATAATTTTAAGTGCTAAACATTTTATTCTCTAAAAGAAGACATAAAATATTATAAGTTTCATTAAAAATTTTAGTACATTTATTCGGATTACATAACATTTCTATATAACTAATTTATTAAATTCAAGTTTCTTTAACTTTATTCAAATTTTATTTAAACAATATAAAAGACTGATAAAATAGCTTTCACTAAAGGTTTTATTTCTGAGTATATTATGCGAAAAAAAATTGTCACAAATCAGTTCTTTATTTTCCTAAAAATATGAGATATTGCAATTATCATAAAAACGTATCATCTTTTCTGGAACAAAGAATATTTAATATAAAATATAATTATTTTAGATCCAACCTGTAAACTTAAACATATTAAAATGTAAATAGAAATTAATACAAATATATCATAAACTTTAATAATACAATTAGTATTAAAATTATTGGTGGATTTCATTAATAATTTTAATAAAAAATCTCTTTGCATTCAATATGGTTTTACATATAAACTTCACTTAGAGAAGACTTAAAAAAAATTCTCGTTTTTCCACTTAAGCTTTTGTCGGAAAGAACTTAAGTTTAATCAGTAGAATACTCTCTTAAATAGAAGGCTAATAGGCTAATAGGCTTTTAATTTCGCTTTCTATAGGCAGATATAGTACTGGCTAAGGGCAAAAGGAGAGTTAAACTTTTAGGTTTATGCAGTCGCATCGACATTGATATTTTTTTGTTTGACTGAACTGTGGTACTGTGTCACCATGAGGAATTATCCTTGACTGTGGACTCGGCACTTCCTGTGACCTTTTTATTCATCGGAAGCGTTGTTGAAAAGTACTCAGGGGCGTAGTTAAAAAATTTCTAAGAGTGTCATATATAAAAGGCCCTTGGTAGATATAATTAAAAGTCATTCATAATTTTCCGTCAATGTCAAAGTGCAAGGCGATGGTGATCTAGATTAAACGTAGAGTACAGGATAATAAGCAATTAAATCTGAGAAACGATTACAGATAATTACATATTATTATTTAGCAGTTATATAAAAATGTTTATTGTAGTAAAACTATAATAAGGATATAAAACTTAGATCTCATGCTTCACAGATGAAGAATATTCCTAAGATTCTTGTTTGAAGAATGTAACTTAAGAACATATATATTTAATATCTGACTTATAATGTATAAAAAATATACTATTAAGTATACAGTAAATAATTTATCCATTAAGTTTAATAACTAAGTTGAGATACAAATTATCTACATAATAATTTTGGAATAGACAATCTACGTAGTATAATTTTAATCTTAGATTAATTAAAAGAAAGATTTACAGACAGAGACTGAGAGCTGGTTAATGGATTGGCCTCATCATATATTAACAAGATTTAAACCTGACATCCAAACAGCAGATTGGATTATTGTTCTATAAGGAACAGATTGACAATTAGCAGACTAGAAAAAGAAAAAAAAAAGATTAATTAAAATTAAAACATTATAAAATACTAATTAACTTGGCAAACACTGTTTTGCTCTTCACCACTACCTCTCAAAACCGTTCATTTTTTATTGATATAAAAACTATTCAGTCTCTCACGTTGGAGCAAACTGTACAAATTTACAAAATTTTATTAAAATCGGTTCAGTGGTTTCTGATATTAGTGTCAACGAACACAGAGGCTCGGAATTTTTATTCATTAAGATAAACTTGTTAGATATAAATGCCTATTTACAATCTACTACATATGATGTTTGATTTAGCGTGTTTGATTAATTGTTTACACTGATATTGACCATAGTTTACTTTAGCTGACCTCAACGAATAATTTACATGTAAATATAACATGGTATTGTCGTCATAGCATCAAGATGTTGATTCTAGTGTTGACCATACGCTGACGTTTCGATTGTATATATGTTGGATATAATAGGAATTTAATATTTCAGTTTTTACCCAACTGCTGAAGAAAGAAGAGTGCAGTCTTTTAAAAATAACACAAAATATATATACCGATAATAATATGAAATCTCATTAAATTTGTCTCAATTGTGGGAGTGGTGCAATTAAGCCAAAGTCTAATTATTAATTTAGACTTTGGTTTAAACAAGAAATTTACTCATAAACAATTTTAGAGTAAATTAATTCTTATATAGTTACTAGACATAGTATTGTATCAGTACAAAAAATTGTAAAATATAATAATAAATAATTTATAACAATATTTAAAATAATTATAATTATAAATTATAATTCTACATTATATTTAATAAAACTGTCGAATAGGATGAAAAACGTAAGTCCCTACACATGTGGTGTAGAATCCCTATTAATGATAATTAACTATGATGACTAGGATACATTTGTTATAACAATGTAATAACATGACTACTTACAACTTGCATTTATATTGTATTATTTAATTGCTTGTAATACAAGTTCATTAGTGTGAAATGCCTTAGCTGATGCAGTTGTTTTTTTAATATATCGTACAATCTATTTATATTTGTATATTTTTCTATATATTTTTTTTATTTTACTTCACTATTAACACGACTGCGCTTAAATATTCATGATCATATTTTTTATTTATATATTTTTTTATTTATTTTAAAATAATAACTTAACTATATTATAATAATTGTTTTTTTTTTTAATAAATAAATATATTATTAGCAAAATGTACAAAAAATAGTGGCAATTACTTAGAATTAAGTGCGAAAAGTATCTAGGACTACGGATAATAAGGCATATTATTTTCTTATAATAATCTCATTAAGGTAAACGTAATTTTTCTTTTTTAGTAATTGGTATATCCGCGTCAGGGTGATCACCATATATCAGTTACATCACAATACAGAAACGTATCACATACGTAAATATTTTCTTAATAGATAAAATTGAAATGGTAACGTTGATGAGACACCGGATACTAAATTCAAATGAGCTAGTTATGATATCATGAGAAATTCACGACAAACTGACGAACGTCAAGGAGACTGCGAGCAGACTGATCTAATAGAGCATTATGAACAATTACTTTCGCTACAAAGTATAAACATTTGGTTTATACGAATGCATTCGTGCACACGATTATTTAGTTATATGCATTAATGTTTACGTTGCAATAACAGGTTGGGTTAAGGTTGTAGCTTTCTGACATGATATAATTGACTAAAACGCTATATTTATATATAAAGAATCGGTGAATACGATGCCATATTTATTTGAGCAGCTCGGGGAATTGCAGGTCTAGATTGTTTTATAAAAAAAATATAAAATGTAATTAATAATAGAAACCTATAAATATATGGAGTCAAAAATTTATTATAATATATATAATATAAAAAATTATGATAATAAATTTATTAGATAAAATTATCCAATAAATTTATTGTCATTATATGTAGATAAATAAAAATATTAATGTTTACAGTAAAATGGAGACGATTTCGCCATCTTTACCCCTCGTTCAAGTTTCGGCAGAAGAGTTGAAAGGCACAAGGAAACGTTTAGGAATAAATGATGTGCAGATGATTAGAGAAAGTCTGGACAACGTGGAAGAGTGGTTGAAGAAGCAACCACATTTGGTTGAAGCCAGTCAGCATATGAGTAAGTTTTTAATAATTTTCATCAACCAAAAATTATACTGTATTGATTTTTTTATATGATACAATCATGTTGACCTCCCTGTGGCCTCCCCTGGAAACTGTCAAATTGAAATACAGCCCTGTTAACACAGCTGCTTCACGCCAAAAACACGAATATAAAAAATTTATGCATTAATTTAATACAGATTAACACGATATTAGACTGTATGTATTACGTATGTCCTTACATTCCGAAACAGTGCTGATGTGGCTGCACTGATAATGCTCACGGTAAAAATAAAAATAGCTTTTTTATGCAATTTGGAATAGTAAAGGAGGTGAAGGCCTTCCACAAAAGAGGTAACTGTCTCTTATAAGATATGTGCAGCGCTATGGACATCACAGTATATAAGATATTATATGTCAATGCAATACCTTTTTAAAGGGCTAATATTTCTTTATCTGGATAATAATGAAATGGTAACCACGCCTGACCATATGCTGGCAAGGATCCAATGAGCGATGATAGATGAGGTTGAAACCAGAAGGTTTACACTTAATAAGGCTTGATAAAGACCTTATTCATGAAATATTTTCCGATATTTCAGGGACGATCGAAACATAAATATAATATTAAAGGATTAAAAATCTTAAAATATTGTTCGTTTGTTTGTCCATTTATGGTGGGATTAATTAAGCGCCATCTACTGAGTCAATTTTGTTATAAACAAAAATGTGAAATTGAGTTGGAAAATTCGATATTTTATTTCTTGGTACCCTAGATCAGTTAATCCATCGAGACTAATTCAAGAAGAATTAAAAACGATGGTTTTCAGGAGATCCATTAATTTCCCTGCCATATCCTTTAAACTAAAACGTAGTTCATGTAAAATAGCTGGTTATAGGCAGAAATATATTCATAAGTACAACAGATGTACCTATCTATACAATATGCGTTTCTAGAAATTGCAAAATTTTCAATCAACTTGATTTCATTTTAGATATCCCGATATTAAAATAAACTTCATTGGAACATGTGGTCATTTATTAGTGTAAGTGATAAAAAAATGTTTTCATGATAATCATCAATCACTTTGACGTGTCAATTATAATTTGGCTTGATTGATGCCCACTAGCCTGTCATTGAAGTTGCGTATAAAGAGATCCATTTTATTCCTATAATACATAACTTTACTACGTTAATTATTCATCTTTTTTGTCGCATTCAAATAATATATAATACATATACTTTTAAAGTGAAACATAAGAATACATAAAGATATTTTTTATTCCTTTCACAAGATCCGATAAACTTAGTAAAAACAAAAAATGACAAGTATCACAGTCAAACAATGGACGACCTTATCTCTAAAAACGATATCTTCCATGAAGCCTTATTATTTATAAATAACATGTATAAATTTTAAGTCATTCAAATGTTAAGATGTCAAATACTTAAAATTAAATTCTACAATTTTAATAGCTATTGTTTTTTAATTTAATAAAAAAAATCTAAAAATTGTGCATAAATGAGGATGTAAACGAATTAATAAACTTTTAAAGTAAAGTATTATAAGTACACTAAAACATATTAATACTTTTACGTTACTTTTTATTGTATTATATGCATTTTTTTTTTTAATTTTATGTTTTATACTTCACAGTACGGTTTTATTCTTGAACATTATATAGTATTTTTCAGCTTCTCAAAGGTTGACTGTAAGAGATTCCTCTATGGGATAATTATTTGGTAAATAATTTAAAATACTAATATTTGTTTAAGGTCGTACTATTTTAGAAAGATTTTTCGTCCTGGCCAGAGGTTCTGTTGAAGGAACTAAAACAAAAATCGAAAAACTATTCACTACCAGGGGAATGATGCCGGAACTGTCAATGCACAAAACTGTGAATGAATTCGAAAAACTTTGGGAAGTAGTGTAAGTTTATTTTTTACCCAAAATTCAGATATTTATTATTATTAAAATGTTTTAATATAAATAGGTATGATTATTATTATATATTTTTATTGAATACTAGGTGACCTGGTGAACTTCGTATCACCTACGACGCCATCTATGAAACATAATCTGAAGAAGAATTTTTCGATTTTTAGCTGAACTTTAGGATATTTTTAACTTTTATTTCTTTTAAAGTAGCTCTGTATTATAACTATCAAAACATAAAATAAAAATCCAAATCGGCCAAGCCGTTTTTGACTTTGAGACTAACAAACAACAATTAATTTTAATAGATTTTCTTCTTGACTTCATGTCTGATGTGAGCTGATAATATGCAACTATTTTATTTTTCTAAAATAAAATTGCACTTTTTTATATTAAGCTTACAAGCGTATTAAGTCTATATATCGTTTATATAGCTTTTTATTTCTTGTACTTATTGTTATTTCATTGTGCTTTGTTAGTGATTTATTTTTAATGCATAAATTTTACTCTTTTATTACGAGCATTATAGGTATATTCTTTTACTTATATTTTCTTCTATCCTTATAATATCGTTAAATAATGTTTCTATTTGTTATTTAATTACTGAAATCATTTGTAAATAAATCACTAATATTTATTGTTACATTATTATGTATTATTTATATGTTCTTTTTTTATATTTACAGAAATTACATACCTCTTCCAAAATTATCACCTAAGGATCTAACAAGAGTAATGATAACACAGTTTTTAACGGATAAACTTGATGATTTCAGTCTGCTCTCCTATTTTAGATACAATTTTTTGGTAAATTAATATTATGATATCTCTATTAACTACCTATTTTCCGCAGATTTGTCTGGTTGGATTTTTTAAATTTTTGTTTTCTTGGTATTTCTTTATCATCTCCTCTTTACATCGTATCCCTTTTTACAAAATTTCTATAGATCCATGGTAATAATTACACATTCAATGCGTCTTCATACAATGAGGGATACATATTTATTAACTTTGGCAAATTTTAATGTAACAGTACTCTTTTGAATTTAGCTTTTTTGCCACTTCAATTTACAAAAAGTAAACACATTTGAATATAATAATATTATTCTACTAAATATGTACCCCTCTTTATCTAACTATTTCTACTGATTTTCATTTGGACATTTGTTTTGTATTTTTTATTCCTAATAAGCATGGTTTTCATTTCAGGTTGGAGAGTTTAGACTAAATTACGATTACTGTGCATCAGAAACGTTTGTTATCGATTTAAAGAATCTGAGCATCGGTCATCTCACTAAATTGAATCCCATAGTTATTAAAAAAGCAGAATTATTGTGCACAGTAAGTATTTCAAATAAAGGTATACCTATTTATTGTTAATAACAATATAAATATTATAATATAAATCTGAAACAGACAAAGTCGTGGATACAAAAAATAATATCTTTTAGAATACACAATGTATGTAATTTTAATTGACTTTTAAAAATTGGAAGTTTCCAATTTATCTGTATTTTTGTAATTAATGTTTTCTTTCCCAATTCTAAAGGAACCGATTTTGTTAATTCTTTTTTGGAAACGATAGGATTTACTCTTAAATTGATCCCCTATTAATTTTGTAACGATTGAAGTTATAATTTTTCTTTGTACTACAAAAACCTCTTGTTGCGAAACAAAATCTGCTTAAAAACTAACGATTTCATATTTCATATTCAAATATTTTCAATATAATATGTCAACTATAAATAAATAAAAAGAATTAATAACTCTATATGCCTAAAATTCCGCCGCTGATTTCTGCAGATATGATTTTTATATAAATGTAATATAATGTACCCGAGTGACCGGATATTAGCTTTAATAGGCAAATTTTTAATAGTTTGGATATCATTATTGTAATTTTCGTATGAACCTCTATTTTTTTTTATTTATATAGTATATGTTACGTACTGATTATGTAGCTTTCTATAGCTGAAATAATTTTTAATCGGTTGAGTTATTTTTGAGATTATCCGTTACAAATTTACAATCAAAACTTTCCTCTTTATATATAATATAGATATAGATAGAGACAAATAATAATAATAAATATCACTTATAGGAAGGCTTTGGAACTAAAATCAATGGTATACACATAGTAAACGCAACACCGTTCGTTGACAAACTACTGTTAATTTTGAAGTCATCCCTCAAACCAAAAGTAGCGGATCGCGTTCATGTGCACAAGACATATGATGACCTTCAAAAATATATACCGAAGGAAATTTTACCTAAAGATTATAATGGGAATGAGCAGTCCTGTGCCAAATTAGCTGGTAAGTAATCCTATTAATATTATAAATGTGAAAGTTTGTAACCATGGTTAGATGGATTTGTTATTCTTTCATAAAAAAACTACTCAACAGATTTGAATGAAATTTGGTACAAGGATTATATTCTAATTTAGCACATAGGATACTTTTTATGTTGATTTATAATGGTGTAGCCGCAGGGTGCAGATAGTAATATTCTTTCAATTCTTATATAAAATAGCTATTTACTTTATAGCATTCTTTAATACTTAAATTTTCGTTAACTTAAATTTAAAACCTCATCTGAAAGTTAATTATAGAAATATATACAGTGTATAATAATGTTAATAATAATCTATTTAACAATTAAATAAATTGTAAGATTTATTCTATTGTTTATTATTTTAATTATTTATTGGTGTAATATATTAATTTTAGATATTATTATTATTACAATTATATAATTTTATTGTTCTAATTTTAATAATCATTGTTAATTTTGTAGAACAATGGAAAGAAGTTTTAAGGTCTGAAGAAGCTACAAGAGTAATAGAAAATATGGATAAACTCATAACAGACGAATCGAAGAGGGATGTCTCGAAATTTAACGAGGAATATTTGGGAATGCCTGGATCTTTCAGGAAACTGAATGTAGATTAATCGTAATATTTTATTATTTTTAAAACAATATAAAATTATATGGTTTATATAATTTTATTAAACCGAAAAATCCAGTTTCGTAAGTATTCAAATGATGGTGTTTAGATTTTTAGGTCAATTATGTACGTATTTTAATTTTTTAGCTTTATTAAGTGTCGATACTATTTATATTTATTTAGTACAAGGGAATAAAATATACGTAAATATTATCTAAGGAGATGGATTTATTATTATTATTTTCTTATCATAATATTCAGTTACAGTTCATGTTCGCTTATTAATTACATTTTATCTAGTACTAGTAACCTTTGTAGCGCAGTCAGCGTTGCCATATTTTATATTTTTTTCGCAATTTTGGCTACAAATTTTTTTTGCCCGCGAAATTTTGGAAAAAAATTTAGTAAACTTGTAGAAGAATGTATATTTTTTAGAAATTTTTGGATGTCTTTGTACTTGTAAAGTCTATAAAGATATATAATTAAGTAAACTATGATAATAACAACAATACCCAGAAGAAGGTAAGCAGATTTAAAAAATAGACGAAAGAAATGGCTTTGTTTTCACCGTCATTCATTTTGTGGCATATGGCAACGCAGTAAAAAATTATACAAATTTGTAATGAGGTACATTTCTCGGAAATCATATCGATTTGCAGAAATAAAATTTAACGTTTCGTTGAAAATCAAAATTGGTATCTAGTAAGTGATTGAATTTGCATCTAAGTTTTATCAAGATTAGTTAAGTTTGATCACTTTTTCACTTTCTAATTATATTTGGTAATACAAAAAAAATCTAGTACAAAATGAATTAAAAAACTCAAACAATGATAACGTCGTTATCTACGAATAATGTTCTTTGTTTACGAATTATAAAATATTTTGACCTTCGAACCTACAGACATTATGAAAAATAGGAGTGTAGTTAATTCTTCAATAATGTTATCAAAAGTCGCTTCTGTTATAATTTAACCTTTGATCCTTATCTTTCACATAGTGAAAGCACTACGGTCATCCTTTTCTTTGACATTAACAGCTATGTCTTTGTTAGAAATGGATTATATTAAGTAAAACTAATAATGTCGGCTTTTTTATTTGTTATATGAGGTATCATAAACTTTGTTTCTTTTCTTTTTATATAATTAGTGCATTTACGCATTAATACTACGGAATTTTAAAGCTATATATATAAAAATTGTATATATACTGCAAAAAAAACGGACTTTACTTGAAACAAAAGTAGTTATTTTGATCTAAACTACAGAATCGATTTTGATAAAATTTCTATGGTAGTCCCATAGAATGTTAATCAAAATCAAATTGGTTTAAAACTGTTAGAGTTATGAGGTAACAAACATAAAAAATACAACGAAATTTAATACCTCCTTCGTTTTGAAGTCGGTTGAAAAGTGAATTATTGTTTATTTTTATACCACTGGGGTCAATGAAACTTCTTTAATTCTATTGTCACTAGTGAGTTGGAGATAAATAATTCCATATCTTCAAAGATTGCCTCGCTAACAGCAATTGCACAGATGTTAGAATAGGAGGATTAGTAATGCAAAACAGAGCCGTTTCCATAGATACGATGCATAATATTGTCACAAACCATTCCAATCTATTGACTTATAGAGCCACACGCAACGTTGTCCAATAATATTGAGAATTGGAAACACTTATTTAGGTATCTACCTTTTTAACTGTAATATCATTATCAAAACCATACTGTCTCACTACTCACTAGGTACAAGATTGACACGTGTTTATTTATAAAAAAAAAAAGAAAATTACAAAAAATATTTCTTTTCCCTTTCAAGTGTTATACCTGTCCAAGTTCGGGGAACCTTTCAAATATGTTTTCAATTTCGAGTATCCAGAAAGGCCGATGCCCCCAAAATCTGGAAGGAAACTTTGTTTATAACGCCTTCAGAAAAGTGAATGTCCCCATCCACTTTTCTGAAGATACAAATCTGACTTATTAAAAATCAATCAATTGAAGTGTAGAGAAAAAATAACGAAGTATCAATTCGTAGAAAAATTGCATACAAAAATTTTTACCTTGTTAGTTCAGCCAACACAGTGGAGTAAAATAATGTTTGATTTTTTTTCTCAAAATGTGATTAATATGTTTAAAAAATACAGATAAATTACACCTTGGAAATATTAGCTTTACTAATGTCTAAATATATTAATATCATAAATATGCATGGTTTGTCTATTAACGCCTCAGCGTCTTAATGGTGTCAGTCAATCAATATCGAATCTGGCATAATATTTTGGATGGAGAGAGACATTGACCCCCGATTTTATATTTACTAAATAATTGTAGATATTTTTAATTTACCACCAATTTAATTCATCAGAAGGAGACTTTGTACAAACTTTATAGCAAACGACTTTTGCTTGGGCACCTCTGTCCCATTTGTGTTTCTACCGTGAAGCAGTTGTGTTTGCATGGCTGTGTTCCGGTTTGAAGAGTGGGACATAGTGGTGAATTTACAAGATACAGAGAAGCAACACCTGAGTCCTCAGGAATGGCAACGCATGGGGAGTATCATGGGCGAAACAGTATACTCTGTTATGCCTGTTACCACTTTCCATCAGGTGGGCCGTCAGCTTGTTTGCCATTCTAAGTAGCATAAAAAAAGTTATATCCTAGCTTACAACAGGATTCTTCATGTACTGATTCAAGCGGGCGGAACTGCAGGCTACATTTAGTTTCAACACTAGCTGACTCGTCAAAATATTGCTTAACCTCTGCCAGCTTAATATTTTCATATCGAGATAAAAATATCCTATATCTCAGGTTGGAATAAACAATACAATTAAAAAAAAAATGAATAAAATCAATTAAGTGATTTCATTATATAACATATCCTTGTTAGTTTTGAAACAAAAGGTTGAAATCTATAGTACCATACCTGTAGAATTTTACAAGTGTCCTAATTCATTAAGATGCATTCCTAATTCTAAAAAGTGCTAAAAATCAACAGACTTAATAAACTTATCGTACATTACCTTAGCATAATTGTAGCTACATATTTATTAATAAGGATAATTCATAGCTGTAATCTCAATCTTTAAGTATCATAGGTCACTTGTTGCATATTTTAATAAAGTAATTTAAATACGCCAGATAAATAAGGAATTTGGGCCTTTAGTGATATCTCTGGAGATTCGTATCATGGAATCACGGATATTGGCGAATATTTCAAATTCTCATTTCACAGAAGACAGCTATTTAGGCCAAATTAGCGGATCCTCCATCATAGATTTACCATGGCGAAACGATGTTAATATTTATTTGCATACTTTTTGTTTCACCAGAATAAAAAAATAAAAAAACATAGCAGGGTTGGAATACAGCGGTGAAATTACAAGATACGGGGTCATATCATACCATCATAAGCATCATCCAAGCCTTAACGTTGCACTTTTGAACATAAGCCTCCCCCTTGGGGGGTTTTGCCAGTAGTTGCTATGCTTGGCAGGCATATTGAGCAACCACAACCAAGGCAACTACAGTTAGGCTTTAGAGATGTTTTAAGAGGGACGCTGCTGCCCATCTTTCGCCCTCTCTTAGTCGTCTTTTACGACATCCATGGGAAAGGAAGGTATGGTCTATTCTATGCTGGAGTATATACGGACGGTAATATGACTATAGGTCCCTAAGAATTGTAATAATTGTGTACTCGTACAATGGGTATTACAATGCGTTCTGTAATGCCATGATGCTGTTCATGTCCGCAGGCGACGATTATCTCTTTCCATCAAATTAGCTGTAAGTTTAACAATTTAAATACTATAAAAAATATGTTGTTTATAATTTACAAAGATATTTGTCTGTAATCTCTGCATTAATATTGTTGTTACATTAATAGTTACTGTATTTATTTTTGTAACTAGCGCAACAAGGTGTAAAATAAATATATACTCTTAGCCGTGATATGAAAGAGATGTGAATGCAAAACCCATCAGATGAAACTCTCAAAAGGTTAATATATCGGCTTATTATTTTTTTTTTAATTGAAATAACTAATGTTAATTTTTTTATGGCAAGGCGTTACGTTGAAACTATTATACTAACCTTGAAGAAGACTTATGAAAGAAATGAAAACAATTATCGGAAACATCAAATATAAGTTACTGTTATATATAAAAGTTAAATATTAATTAACTCATTAGGTTGCATAATTTAATGAATGTATTATAAAATAATTATATAAATTTAATTTAATAATTAAACTTTATAATTTAATTAATTAATTTACTGAGAACTTTCAGGCCTAGTGCCTATGGACTGATGATGGTCAAATCCAAAATTTCGTAGCTAACACTCCAATGATTGAAAACGTTGTTTACAGCTTAAATTAATCCGAGAGAGGGCGGTAGGTTCATCTGATCCACAATAATTAAAATATTAATGCATATAATATATATAATAAGAAACGTGGTGGAAATGTGGTGCCTCAATGTACAAAAATTAAATTCTATCATAATTTAATTTTAATTTGACACGCTTAATGATAGAATCGCTCCGAGACAACCACTTGAGCTTTCTTGGGGCGTTGATAAGACCAACTACCGACTAAATATTTAGGCCTTATTTGTAAGACTTCTAGCTTGGAATCATTTTACGCGTGTAAGTTATTTATCTAAGGTGTAAATCAAACACGACTACCCATTCACACATTTTTTAATAGTTTATTTATTTATTAAAAAATATTTTTCACTAAAAATATGTATTTAACTCAAATACGTTCGTAAATTTGTATTTCTTAAAAAAATTAAAGTATAAAAAACATTATGACAAAACCTCTTATTGTATGCTCTACTCGTAATAAAAAAATGCGAAATTCCATATCAATACGAAAATTACTGCCTTTGTACTACAGAAAGTCAGTAATTTTCGTATTGATATGGAGGGTACATTTCCCAATTAATTGCCAGCTTATTGTAACTATCGTTATTACACATCTTTGTTTACATAAAATAAATCGTGACTTGGCAATCGCATAGCACCAAACATATATTTTTGGTAAATATATCGTTGTATTTCTTCTGAGTTCGATATTAAACTGATATCAGGAAAATGCATATATATTATTATTATTTTCTTTATTTATTAAGCGGTAAAAGTAATATTTTTGTCTACAAACACCCATAAAATCATAAAGGTCAAACTTTGTGTTTATTTTTTTTTCTTGAAAATTAGATAGTCTAAAAAAAATTTGATTGAAAATGAATGATAATTAGTATCCACTTACACTTTGAACAGCGTAGTCAGACTTAATTGTAGTCTGAGGATTTAAAGAACAAAATTGGTCTAGAAACTCTTGATATTTGAGAAAACTTATCAAAAACTATATATTAACCTATTTGATACCATTTTCTACAGGTATATTTGTATATTTATTAGAAGATTTACATAATATTTTTTAAATCAACTTTTATATAAACTAAATGAGGTTATTCCCGCAGAAATTGCTCATTATTAAAACTTTCTTTAACATGTTTAAAAGTTTTAAATGTAAATAAATAACTGGATCAGAGTTTTATACATAACTTAACACCCTATTAGACCCCTTGAGAGTTGACTCTCCAATTTTACTAAACCCCGTGTGCTAACCCATGTCCAAAGGTTAAAAAGTTTATTTCAAAGTTTTCTATGTTTTTGTTTATATTATAATATTAGCTATAAAATTAGAATACTTGAAGTCATAAAATCGCTAACCATACATTATTATAGAAACATATTGAAATTTAAAATTTTCTGAAGTCGTAAGAAAATTATAGGTAAATGTCGCTACACGATTCGATATATTTTGAAACTGCTTCTCTCAGCTGCCAATCTAAACTTCTAATTTATAAATTTGTATCTTGATTTATATAACGAAAACGATATTATCAGGTGGTAATACTTTTTCTACCGACTTCAAAAAGAAAAAGTTTTTAAATTTGTTTCAAAATTTTTTATGTATGTAACCTTATAACTTCGTCAGTTCTAAACCAATTTAGAAAATTGATTTTTTATCTGAAAGAATATATTTCTAGATTACTTCCGTAAAATTTTCTCGAAATCAGTTCAGTGGTTTAGTTTTTAGAACAAAATAACTGGTTTTATCACAATTGAATTCGGTTTTTTTTTGGCAATCTTTAATTCTTTCGAATAAATATTGACCCTGTCGTTGACATCATCTTCCTTGTTATAAATCAGTTACAGTATCGTATAGTTACGTATTTCTATAGGAATATTTGTTGAAACTTAGATAAAGACGAGTGAAATTTTAAGTATTACATTTACACTATGTTCAAATATTGAAAAATATGGGCTACAGAAAAATTGTTAGATTTACAATGATTTTTCCATACCTACACGTAATTAATAGATAACTTGCATACACATATTATTTTAGAATTTCAATATATTTGTAATAAAATAATTGTAAAATGCAAATTCTGAGGATTAGATTGAAAAGTTTAACATTTGATTTTTTTAAATAAATAAATAATAACACTTTAAATATCAGTTATTTATATATAACATTTGAAAAATTGGTTAAAAAAATTGTGTTCCCAAAAAAAAAAACAAATCGACTTCAATTATGGCAAAACCAATTATTATGATTTAAGAACTAAACTACTAAACCGAATTTGATAAAATTTCTATGGGTTCCATAGAAATTTTCTGTAAATATATCTTTACGGATATAAAAAAGCAAAGAAAAAATTCTGTTGTATAAATGAAAATGCACTTAGCTCGGATAGTTGAGAGATGCAGATTCAAATACTATCGAATTTGACCTCAAATAAAATCAATATCTCTGGAATTTGATTGTCAAAAGTTTAAGTTTAAAAGAAAGAGAATTTAAAGGAAGATTGAAATAATTAACTAAATGTATAATACTACCTATATCTTTCCACTTCGCCCGTGGTCCTATTGTAATGTTGAATAGTTTATAACCTTTAAAAAATAAGTTATCAAATACAAAATGATCTTTTCAAATCTACTAGTAGTTCCAGAGATTAGGGCGTTCAAATAAACACTTCCGTTTTATACATTACAATGGATTCATAGTAATATAATATTATTATTTTCATTATTATTATTTTTTTATATTATTACATATTTTACCTATATTATATTAAGTTATATGCATGCAAGTAAATTTTAATCTACAACCAATGATCGAAAAGACCCCGGCATTCCCAAATGATGTTCGTTGAATTTATCAGGTGCTCTGCGACTCTCGTCGGTTCTTGCTTCCATAACGGATTCCATGTAATTTATAAATTTTTTTTCACTCAAAGTGTTAATTATATTTTCTGAGAAAAAATAAGATTGAACAATTATTAAAAATTTTGCTTCAATTCAATAAAATTATTTATATTATTTGACATTACTGTAATGGTTATTTATTATGAAAATAATTTAATCTAAAAAAAAGTTATTAATGAATAATAGTATATTTAGTCCCCAAGATACAGGTCTGGCCTAGTTTGGGGACTGATGGTAATACAGATATTTAATTGTTGAATTTAAATTGTAAATTGTACTTTATGCAACTGTATCTTTCTTGAATAAAAATATTGTATCCGAAATTTTTAATTATTAAGTAGCTACAACTAGTAATCTTAATAGTTACCTAAAAAAATATTATAGAAAATTTATAAATTTAAGAAGTTTATATTAAAAAGCTGCCAACAATTATTACATAGTACCATACGAATAAATCATTTTGATAAAGAAACTCCTGAAAATTTATTTATAATTGACAAATGTATATGATAATAATATAAAAGACAGCCACATAAAAAAAATTAATCGGATTAATATGTTTGAAAGCAGTTATGGAACTTACCATGTATTTCCACAAGAGTCTTTTCTTTACCCCCATATTCAGCTGGAAGTAAATCCTTAGGAATAGAGTCGTGAAGTGACTCCAAAGACTTGTGGACATGCAAACGATTGGCTACCTTTTCACTTAGTATTTGTTTCCATAATGCTACGAAACCATCGATAAATTTTGAGGGCGTTAAGAAATGTATTCCTTTTACTCTCAAGCCATATCCTTCCTGGGAATTATACAAAACATGCCTTTTTTAATAAGTTGTATAATCCTGTATTTGCATGTATAGCGTATGTAAAATATGGTATACATTGTATATAATAATAATTATAATACTAAATGTTTATTTATTGGCTTCATTCTCACACGTATAAAAGCTTACAAAGAAAACAAAGAAATCGTAGTAATAATAGTAGTTTTCACAAAAACATTGTAAAATACAAGAAGATATGCATAATTTTTTTGGTATTTCATTATATTCATAATGCATTAGCATGGTCGAGCTAAAATAATATAAATAAAATATATGTACAATGTTGAAGATTTAAAATCAAATTTAAAATCCTAAGCAGATAAAACTAACAATAAAGGTTAATATTGTCTGCGTAGAAAATATTTTTCGTCTGAGTAAGTCAATAAAAGAATTCGGATGGCATCTTATTGTTTTAAAATCAATAGGGATAATTCCTGAAATACAGTACAGAAATACTTGTCCCAACAGATTAAAAATAATAGATTTTTTTCTGTGATTGTAAACTATAAAATGATGTGCTGTAAATAGCTACTATAGCTTTGTGGTTTAATAGTATACTGCGTAAGATGACGGTGGGGATTGTGGACACCGCAGGGTGTCAGGCCATCGTCCTCCGCGGTACAAACACTTAACCACAATGATATTTCATCTGTAGAAAGGTACGTTATTTTTAAAATCAGTTGAGTAATATATATTTATAATAAAAAAATATACACCATTGATTAGAGCCTAAAAAGTGGTCCTTTGTGCCGGATCAAAGTTTTCAATATTAGAATTTAAAATAATATAGAGATAAAAAATATTTTTTACCATGAATAGTACAGTGGCCTGCCGTAGCTCTGTTATGCTCATAGTTTTTATGAGTTCTAATAAATTGGTATCCATATAATCCACAATAATTACAATGCCTACACTGTAATCATATTGCAGCATATACTCCAAATACTAAAAAAATATAAATAATTACAAATTAGAAAATAGATTGTGAAAATAGTTATCAAAATCGGTTCATAGTTACAAAAAGTAATATCATATAACTTACACACCTACAAAAAATAAATACATGTAGAATAAAAATACTTTTGGAGTCAATTATATAAATTCTAATCTAATATGAATATAAAAGTATTATTTACTTCTATGATGACATAGCGGTGCTATCATCATCATCATTATTTCAGCCATTATCTATCCATTGCTGAACATAGGCTTTACCTATAGACTGTCCTAAGCTATCTGCATCCACTGACTCTCTGCAATGTATTTGAGGTCATCACTCCGTCTAGTGGAGGTCATTCTACATTGAATTTTAATATAGCGATGCTATATTAAAACGTTATTAAATTTAGCTCAAAATCAACGAAAATCACATACCATGTACTACTGAAAAATACAGTTGAAGTAAAAACCGTTTTTGAAATCGTTCTATATAAAAAAATAGAATACATATAATAATAATAATGTTTATTTATTTCTGACAACTTTTTGAGTACAATGAACAATTTATAATATAATATATAATAATAATAATATATCATAATAATATATAATCATTATAAAAATTCTATAAACTAATAATAATAATAAAATAATTACAAAAACAAGTCTTCTGTAGTAGTTCAGAAAAGAGGGCGATGTACAGTTATTGTTTTTCATAAAATATATTCTGTAGAAATCTGATGTAGTTTTAGGCATAATGGCATCAACTCTGAAATATAAAGTTATAAAACTATCATGTAATTATATTATTACAGATTGTGTCTAATTGTTGGATTATTATCCGATTATTAATTATTTTTTCCTGTTATAAATAATTACTTCATCTCTATTTACTGTTAATTAGACAAAAGATCTGAGTAAAGTTAAGTCAATGTTATTTTATGTATTTACATATTTCAACATTGTGTTCCACAAAAAAAAAAAAAAGAATAATGAGAGAATAGAATAATATATTATTATAAGTTTTCATTCGGTCATTAAAAGTTCGAAATCCTATTTTTTCTTTTGTTTGAAATCTCTCATGGAGATTCGAGAAGAACCTGTGTTTTTTAATGAATGATGATTGATAATGAAATGAGCTATCAGTATATTTTCGTGAATCACCAGTAAAGGAGGATAGGTGATAAGAAAAGCATATGGGCCAGCTAGACCCATCGTGACGAATTTATCATAAATTAACCATAATTATTTCCAGACAGGATCGTGTATAAATTGACTTAACAGGGTATATTGTTAGCAATAGGGCTGGTAGTCCACATTACTAATAACCCCTTTCCCCTTAGATACCTATATTCACTATTGGTACTTTAATGGATTGTTTAAGATAAATGGATACATTAAATTCAAAGATGAATAGAAACATCGTTACATCAAGGTTAGAAATGCAAGTGATGTTTTACTATAAATATTGTCCCACTGCATTTTAAATGCTATGCCTGTAAATAGTTTTAAAAAAATATTGAGTAAAATAGAATATATAGTTCTATAAATAATAACACACATGTTAACGACTGTAAGTCCTAATATGGTGGACAATGACACTTGGCGGCTATTACTATTTTATTATGGTACAGTTTTTATGAATATAATACTGAGTGCTAAGAGGTGATTTTACGCCATCTCATGGGTTAAATAGACTTATTGACATTGTTTTCTATAACTGAGAATATAGTTTGAGCATTAAAATTAATACTTACATTAAATTCACGTCATTAAAATCTTTCTTTATGTTGTAAGCTCCAAAAAACTCAGGCATCAACGTTCGTAGAGTACAAATTTTGTCAAGTTTCTTTTTTGTTCGTTCGAGCAAACCCTTGTTTATAATTATCAATCTTTCTAAAAAGTCTTTGCCTAAAATGTAAAATCTATAGGGTAATGTTCACCTACAAAAGAAATTTTAAAAATTCACCTCCTAAGGGGTAATAGCTTCTAAAATCCATACATAGGAAATTGCGGACTAAAGCTAGTGTTACATTAAAATAGGAATGCAACGCATTAGAATTCGGACAGACATAATGTATTACTGGCAAATTCAAAATAAAAAATTAAGTACTTTCTATCTACAATCTCTATCTAGAGGCTAAGGTTTAATTTTTTTTTTCTGCTTTTAAAGGCAACTTTTATGTTTATTATTAATAATAATTTAAAATTTCTTTAAAAGCAAATTAGAATATTAATCATACAATAATTTTGAATTCTATTAGAATATAGTCTGAAGTAGCTATCACAGAAATTTTAAATTAATAGACGGTAATGTTTGTGTCAAAATAAAAGAGAAAAAATAATTAAATTTTTATATTTATTTTTTCTATTATTAGTGTTTTGAAAACATAAAATATTTTTTACATAAAGTCAACAGTAACACAATTTTCAGAAAGCATTGAATATTGTTATTTTAAATTTTTACATACAACGTCATCTAGTGGTACCTATATTAATACCGTCAGATGGCGTTGAATATAGAAAAATAATGAGCGTGCCCGATGCGTGGCAGACTGGATGAATGATTAATGGACTATTTTTTAAATTGGAAATGTATCCTACATTCCCAATTTAAAAAAAAAGTCCTTAAACTGTAATTAAAATTTAGAAATATTTTATATATGAATGAAGCACTATATTCTTTATCATCTTTATATAAAACCATACAAATAATAATCGAGAGCAAGAACGATGACGATTAACATTCTTCTGAACTCATTATTTGTTAATTATTCAGAGTATTAAATCAGCTCATAAAATGACTAATAATTATAAAGTCACAATAAGGCTACTATTTAACTAGTTACTTGGATAATTTCCTGTAGCTGTAATTAGTATCATATTTTTAGAACGTAGGTACGTTTAATCATCTGTAAAATATTCTGATTCGACCAGTTTTTATAGTAAATTTATAAAGTTTTTTTTTTATTAAAATAGGATTTTTATCCTAAAAAAGAAAGATTTCAATTTTAGTCAACTGTAATAAATTGAACATTTAACTATTAAATGTCAAAATTTGCAAAGGTAAATATACTTTAAATGTATAAAATAGATATTGATTACACCACACGCCTTAATAGATTTTAATGAAATTTAACACACACATGTTTACCTGTTTCAAGTAGTTTTCATTCATTACTTTTCTACTTCTTAATTCTAAATACTATTTTCTAATATAATAAATATGAAACATATATCTAATTATATATATATATTTATCTGTTGTACAAGTATGTTTAAAAAATATTTACTACACAATCATGTGAAAATATTTAAGTGGTTTTAAAGCCAAATAAAACGCTAGCAGTGAGCTGGACTCATAAATTACTTTCACAAATTACAAATTAATCTATTATTTATAGTAAAATTTGACGAGGAAACAAAAACTATAAACCTGTTGATATTTTTTCTATGTACCTATCTAATTACTACTAACAAATTTTCCATTGTTGAGAAAATTTTTCTTTATTCTATCCCATAGTTTAATCTAAACGCACGTTCTGTGAGCGATATAGCGAATGATTAACCGAATGGTTTTTATTCTGTCACTCAATCGTTCAATTACTTTTGACTGAATCGTTCTGTTTAATTTACGCTTTATTTATTAATAAAACAGCATCCTTAATGGTTATGTATATTGAAACAAGTTTTTTCCCTAAACCTTGTCCGCGTGATCGAGATACTTTGATTGACTGAGATAAAAAGTAACTTATGTCCTTCTCTATGCTATATACCATTTTCATGATGATTAATTAAGGTATTAAAACGTCAAGAGATAAACTATATAAAAATCTTTATTTCACGTTCATAATATTAGTAACGTGATATTAGTACCTAATGTGAGAGAACTACTCGAATAAAAGTAACTATCAATACATGTGATCGTTTCATTGGTTGGTAACCTTATTCTCTCGGTAAACACAACAATTTACCACCGTTTAAACTTGATATTATTAAGCAATTACAGTATATCCTTACTAGATACTTACTAAAATCCTTTTTAACAAAATGATCTTGTTTCTTAATCCATTCTTCTAAAACAGTGATTGCCTCTTCTAGTCTTCCTGGTTGGTCTAACCCAAACAATACCCTTATAATTTGTTTGGCATTAGGATTGACTTCTATTAAACATTTATTTTCGTTTTGCATTTTTACTATATAGACACTCCTACGTTGTATGACGCACTGAATAAATCTATACATACAAGTTCAGAACTGTTTGTTATTATAACCACAGTTGTGCTATTAATGTCATTGCTGTTTTTTTCTCGCATAAATTGAATAAGGCGATTAACACAGGGAGCGATGCAATGCCCCATCGTCGCGTACAAAAACTCGTTGGATTACAAATAAATAATATTAAAGTTTTACCGTACATTTATAGTTTGCTGGCTTTAGAATATCTATAGTTCATATAAGGCATTTCATAGTGAAGTGGCGGGTTGTAGCTGCAAGGTGAAAAATCCCCGAGGAAATGGATCATATTGGATCATGTAATTGGATCATGTAGAGGAATGAAAGTTTTCCCTACAATATCTATACGTCTGTTACTCTGCAATACTGCTATGCACGAAATCGTTACGAACAGCTATAAACTTTTTGAACCGCTCGACTATGCTTGATCACAACGCGCGATACTACACTGTACCATATTTAAAAAACTTTGAATCTACTAAGTATCTATCGAGTATTTATTTACTCACAACAGCACGTCATCATTTATGATGATGATGAGAAATAAAAATATATATATATGTAAATAAAAAAAATTACTAAATGTGTTGGTAAGCACAAAACAGACGAACAGTTGCATCAACTTGTTTTTTTTTTTTGTAATGTTTGTGTAATAGAAAACCCCTTTTTTATTTTTTCCCTACAAACTGTCTCTAGTTGCCAATTTAAGTATTTCGTAGACGGTATGCCACAGTTCTATAATTTTCGATAGTACGATGTTTGTCGGGTCAGGTAATAATAAAATACGATTTACTGTGTTATCTCTAGATACATCAAAGTAATTAATGCTCCTTTCCACTCAGGATTTCCTGGAAGAGAACTCTTACAGGATTAAGCTCGCCTTTTGTATATCTCTGATCAAAATAATTTGTAACAATCTAATCTTTGTTTGAAGTAAAATATAAATAAATAAATCTTGTATTTATTAGTATTTACCGATAATTTTTCAAGAAAAGCAGTGACAAAAACTGTATATCTCCTAGGTATTTGGTATTTTGTAGTCTTTCAAACGTTTAAACACGATAGTGCGACGTTCTATCGCTCCGTGTGTTCATAACAATAGTGAAATAATAAAGAATATTTAATAAAATTACATATTCTGAACATACTTCATCGCCTTTTATTAATGGTTTACAGATAATTCTTATAGAATTGGTATGTATTTATTTATATCGAAACAGAAATTTCGTTTTGGGAAAAATAATTAACAATTAACTCTAGAGTTAGTTAGTAGAATCAACTAGTTGCACCATTTTCTAATATAATATCAAATTTTAATAAAATTATTATAAGTACTTACTATACTTTAAAACTGAGATCACACAAAAAAGCATTTAGATAGACTAACATACTGGTTTGGGGAGAAAGGTATTGACCTTCAGGCCATGTCCCCTGGAAACAATTGTGGTCAATTCCTAATAAATAATAATAAATAATTTTTAAAATTTTTAATTACTTTTTCTTGTTATTTGTAAATAAATAATAAATTAATCTTTAAATTCATCAGAATGGACCAACTGACCTGCTCTCGTTCCTATTACCTCTTATTGGTGCCCCGCCAGCGTATGCCGATAGACGATCGCTGTTCTATTATTATCCATTAAGATCCCTCATACTAGTCTTTTTTGTTAATCAATCATTTGATTTTATTAATATACATATACCTATAATATATAATAAAATTGGAATTAGACGATGTCACATTATATATACCTGTGTCTTAATATGAGAAACTAAAACTATATTTTTTAGAAAATTGTCACTCTGTTTCGGTATCCTAAACTACTGCATCAAGATGAATGCAGTTTCCACAGTTATGCTTATATAAAAATGGTATTTATTTCCAAAATCCACCACTATTCACAAGATTATATACTTACATAATTTTAGTGCTTACTTTTTTTCACAGAACTTCCAACTGTATTTGATTTGAATGCTTTTTTAAACAACAATAACAGCAAACAAACTAACAGTTGTTAATTTTCAACTTTGCCATTGTTTACACATATTTTAAATACACAATCGGAACTTAACGTGACGAAACTATTTGCTATTTAGCTGTAAAATTTTTTATCGCGTTAAGTCCCGATAGTGTATTTATAACCATTTAGGGTTTTGTTAATAGTTGCCATGCTTGGCAGATGGATTGGTAAACGCAGTTAGGCTTTGGTGATGTTTAAAGAGGAACGCTGTTGCTTGTCCCTGGACCATTAAGTTCCCTTTGTCATCTCTTACGACCCCACTAAAAAGGATAGGGTGGTCCATTCTATGTCGGGACCACATGGTATAAGTCATGATAATTATTCTATATTTTGTTCGTTGCCTCTTGGTGCCCTGACCTCTCAATTAATCGTCATGAAATTTAATATTACTTTACCCCGTACGGGCAAACGCAGTGTAGGTGGACCCCCTGCTAAATAGAGTTATAACCTCAAATGCATTGCAGGGAATCAATGGATGCAGGTTGCTCAGGGAGACTTTGTACAAAAGTCAATTGCTTGGGTACCTCTGTCCCATTCGTGTTTCTACCGTGAAGCAGTTGTGTTTGCATGGCTGTGTTTCGGTTTGAAGAGTGGGATATGGCGCAGAGGAATAATATCTGAGTTCTCAGAAATGGCAACGCATGAGGGACGAAACAGTATACTCTGGGCGAAACAGTATACTCTGTTATACTGCTCATGTCTATAGGCGACGGTTACCACTTTCCATCAGGTCCTAACTGACGGCCCGTCAGCTTGTTTGCCATTCTAAATTGTATAAAAAAAACCGTTCCTTATGGTAGTCTATGGGAGAGGCATATTTTTAACAGTAGACAGTTTATTTAATTAGACAGTTTGGCTAAGACAATGATTATGATAAAAAATTCGTTGCTATTAGATACCTAATATATTTTGTCAACTTGGAAATTATTGCTTGAAACCTACAGGAAACGAGGCCAAACTTTCCTACAACTGCCATCAACAAAGTGATTAAATTAAAATAGAAAGTAATGACATCGGAAGACCGTCTTGGTATCCTGAATATACCCTAGTGGCGTCTCGTCGCAGAGGTAAACCATCAAAATTAAATTCTGTTTAATTTCCTTAGTGACGCTGTTTCCAGCATTTATTAATTTTATCTCGTGCGAAAGGAAATCTTTTAACCGTAATAGTATCATGGATGCGTAAGACACGTCTTTCAAGAATTAATTTATTCTAACTGTATTTATATTTTTCTTGACGATCTTTTGTTTACATGTACATACTTTAGTTACCAGAACGAGACTTTGTACAAACATCGTCTGCGTAGGTACCTCTATCCCATTCGTGTTTCTGTCATGAAGCAGTTGTGTTTACATGGCTATGTTTCGATTTGAAGGATATGGTAAGTAAAATACAGGTGCAGAGGCATAACATCTGAGTCCTCAGGAATGGCAACACATGGGGAGGGGTATCATGGGCGAAACAGTAGGTATAATCTGTTATGTCCATGATACTGCTCATGTCTATAGGCGATGGTTACCACTTTCCATCAGGTGGGTCGTCAGCTTGTTTGCCATGCTAGTTGTATAAAAAAAAAGAATACATTAAGTTTAGAATTACATTTTAATCTTCAGGGAGTCACCATTTTCCTTTAGAAGGGTCCACAGCCATTCATAAGAAGATTAAGTACCAAACTATGAGTTTATTAATGTCCTAGTTCTAAAATCATCAAAATTAAAAATAATAACTACTACGCTTACATAATTGGGTTTGAGTTAAACCACTACAAATTCTAGTAATTTATATAATAATTTATTATTACGCAAGAAGGAAAAAAAATTTTCTGATATATATAATTTACGGATACTACTTATAAATTAACATACAAAGGTAACCTGTTCATGTATTATTGTATGTTAATTTCATTTCATTTCATATTAATATAAATCAATGATTGTATCTTCCTTAAACACCATTTGTTTTTTCATCATCATTCATTTTTCCTGATACATAAATAGTAAAACAACTATTTATTTACTCACATACCTAGTTCGAGGTTACTGACTAGTTTCAGATAACTTTAGTATAAAATTATATTTTGATATTACAAAATTGTAATAAAATAGTATCTGTACAGAAAAATATCTAAAGAGTTGAAATCTCTATCCGCGAAAGATATTGTGGGCATTGCAACTTGTTTTGCCTAAATTTATGCCTCTAAACTTGGAACACACCTGGATAAATAGGCTTGTATTTTAGTTCTACTATTTTCATTCGCAATTCCTTATTAACTTTTCTTCATTTTTCGAAAAAGTTATTTTAGTATTGCTTACCCTAATGGGAGAGAGACATGACAAATACGTATGTATGTTGAAATATGTAGAAATCATTTATAATTATGATCTAGTGTAACAATTTATGACTATACAACAAAATACAAAATTCGAAAAAAAAAAACAGAATAATATAATATAATTCTAAATAATTTAAATAAGCAAACAACAAGTTCAAGTACGTATTTTTTTATTAAACTGTTAATTTACAAAGAAACTATTCACATGAAAAGTTATATTACGTTTTTGATATTAACAGTTGACAGTAAGATTTAGATAAAAGATGTTAGACATCATTCAATTTTCATTAATAATAGATACCTATAAAGATGTAATAATTACAATATTTACAAAATTTACAATTACACACGTAAAATTATTAAAAATTAAATTCGAGAAATCCAATGATATTGTTACATAGATACAAAATGAACGATTCACAGCCCATAAAATAAATAGTTTATAACTGATAAAAAATATCTGAAAACTCAATGAGTCTTCTCGTTTATGTGTTGACGTGTTCAAGCATTTCTGGTAATGCATTGTATGCTACCATATTACCAAAACCCTTCGGCTCTTTCTTAGTCACAATCGCTACTATTTCTTCTTCAGGAGGGGGTGGAGGGAACTCTGCATTAGAATCCAATGCCGTCGACATATCATCTACACTAAGTACTACCTCCCTATTGTCAATTTCTATCCTATTACGTTCTACTACAGAGTTATCCTCCATAATGCTGTACAAATTTTCCGTTTTACCTTTATTGTACATTTGTCAAGAATTCATATAAAATGGATCGTTTAAATTTACTTCGTCATTGACTGTATTGCTTTTTTGCGACCATTCTTTTTGTTGATGCTTTATTCTATAAATTATTTCATCATGTATAACACCGAAACACATAGCTGTTAATGCTAGTCCTGTCAATGTATACGCAGAACAAAACCACAAAGTTACAGAATTTATTGTATAATATCTAACACCACTTATAGTTGTGTAGCTCATACCAGGGATTATATTTCCAAATCCAATGGTACTTAATGCCATAAAACAAAAGTAAAATCCATCTATAATACTCATATTGTCTAACTTATAAAGAACTATGGCTCCTATAGTAATGTAAATAAATATTGCAGCCAGACAAAGTAAAACTGGGGCTAGTATACTTAATCCATGCATGGATAATTTGGAGTCTGTGTCTGGCCAACTTATAATGTCATCTTTAGCAGTACTCGTTGTTGGTCTTTCTGATATCGATAAATCTTTTTGGCTGTCAGGTTTCAAAACATAACATTCTTCTGTCGGTGTCTTGCTTGTATTCTGACTATTAAGCATTTCTTCTTGTTGTCTTTTAAGTTTCATTCGTCTTTCCTTTTCAGCCATTCTTCTTTCATCATAGCAGCAGTAACCACAATTTGAACAAAGGCAGCAGCACAATGCACGACTGAAGACACTCCGAGCCATTTTTGATAACAAAGAACCGACGCTTGACAAGTATACAAGTGTTAAGGGTATGCCGATGAGAGCATAAAGTATAGTAATGCCTTTTCCGAGAATTGTTCTTGGCGCAATATTTCCATAGCCTGTAAGAAAAATACATTACATTTACATTTTTATTGCAATGTGTGAAGTTAAATTATTCTTATCTATTATTTTTTAAGAAATGTGTACACATAGTATCATACCCACTGGTGTTTCTACCGTGAAGCAGCTGTTTTTTGGTTTGAAGAATAAGATATAGTAGAAAGATAATAGATCACGAAAGCATAACATAGTAATTCTCAAAAATGCAACGCATGAGAGGTATCATGGGCATCACAGTGTATTCTATGATATCTATGGATAAAGGCCCCCACTTTCCATCAATAGGAGCCGTTAGCTTATTTGAGATTCTTAATCTGATAAAAAAAAAAATTAAACAACATAGCTCACCTATTGTTGTCAATACCGTCAGTGAATAAAAAAATGCAAGCGCCAAATTCCATTCGTGTTCCTCATAGTGATTATTAACGTCACCTCCGCTAAATTCTCCCAGGGCCATCTCTCTGTAGCTTACTCCATATTGTGTTGCCATTTCAGTTGTAACACGCTGTACGAGCTCGTTTTGAAACTTTAAAATCTCTTGTGCAGCCAATCTAGTCCAATTTTCTCGGTACAAAATATTCAACGATACGGTTATCTCCCAGATATTTTCTACTGCTTTACTCCTAGCATCCCAGAAATAGTTTGCTGAGAGTGTTAAATTACCATACTCATAATCATCTTCCGTATTCTTTCTGTTTGTATTATTCTGCTCTTTATGATTTATTTTGTGTCGATCTGGCAATAAACGAGGTCTAACTGGCATTTCTGTCCCACCTTCAATAGCTAAAAATATGAATGATCCCATAAACGTATATGCCAATAAAATAGAGAATATCACGATATTTGTAAGGGAACCGATAATAAATTGTTTTCTTCTATACTTGGTTGTTTTAAAACAAAAACAACAAACAACTTTCTGGCGCGAAGTTTGTGTTCTCTTTCTGCTATTAGATGCCACCGACTCGGTTTCCTGGCATCTATCCAAAGGTATTCCCCCATTAAGCGAAGGCTTTGCCAATGTATACTGTTCGAATCTGTTGATAGCCTCTTTATCCAGTATAACATGATCTATATCCATTTTCGGGTACAATTGTTACCTTCTACCTTCATTCAGTGACGTCATCTTCTCCAAGCCTTTATAAGTATCTGAAACAAAAGAAATTTTTCCGTTAATATAAGGTCGTCAATTTTTTCTTGCACTTAAGTGGATAGTCATTTCTCAAAGTCCTCTTAGAAGGAGGGGAATAAATGACAAATGAAGAAGTATGATGTTAGAAAAATGATTAATGTTCGGTTAAAATCTTGTCGTTTTCATAGATATTATATTTTAGTAGTCACTATCAATAATCGAAGTAATCGCTCTAAATAACATTCTAGTCATATCATGAATATCAGTATACACTTGTGTGTATAAAAATAAATATTTATATATTAATAATATTTTATATATATATATATATATATATAGGTAAATAATTTCACATAAGAAGAAATTTAGATTATTTAAACCAACACCTGGAAATGTGAAACTGGAATATCTAAAATGAGAAACCGTTAGTAGGGATAAGTGGAACTGGCCAACGAATATTGGGACCGAAACTAATATTGCATTAATGTCAGACAATTATGTTTTTTTCTTGCTGATTTTAGAAACTTTTTCCCAACTTCCATTTTCTCTTTTATTTATTTAATAAAGAAATAAACGTAAAGATATAATATATTTTCAACCGTCTTCAAAAAAGGAAGAGGTTCTCAATTTAGTTGTAATTTTGTTATGTTTATTAGCTTATAATTTCGTTGTAAACCGATATGGAAAATTCTTTTTTTATAATTTTGTTAATCACCAACGAAGAAACAAGAAACATGTGTTATTTCTAAATAAAAGTGGCTATCAATCACCTCTATTTTTATATACATAATGTTTCCTAAATCGATTCTAAATAAATTTAATTTCTTTTTTTGTAATTAATGAGGTTTATTATTCTTATATTAATTTTTAGATCAAACTATCAGAATTCTTGTAATATTTGCCTATTTATCTACCTACTAAAGGGATACTTTGTACAAAAGTCGTTTGCTTAGGCACCTCTGTCCCATTCATGTTTATACCGTGAAGCAGTTGAGTTTGTATGGCTGTTTCGGTTTGAAGGGTGGAATATGGCAGTGAATTTACAGAGTACAGAGAAATAACACCTGAGTCCTCAGGAATGGCAACGCATGGGGGGTATCATGGGCAAAACAGTATACTCTGTTATGTCCATGGCATTGCTCATGTCTATAGGTGACGGTTACCATTTTTCATCAGATGGGCCGTCAGCTTGTTTGTCATTCAAGGTTGCATAAAAAATGTAATATCAGACACACAATATAAACAAAAACTATTTAGTTGCAGTCGTTTTTTATTTATATCAATTTTATTAATTTATTTATCTAATCCACATTTTATTTTTCATCTATTTCTTTATCATGATCACTAAGTGTCTCAAGATTACATAGGTACTTCAGTAAAAATAAGTACCTAATAAGAATTTAGTATTGAGAAGATCCTCGAATTCGAAAAAGATCAGAAAGCACTTTCATACATTCCTACTTGGTTTACACGAAAAGTATGAATATTTCTCAATTCAAACTGGTGGAACAATCCAAAAAAAATGTTTATGTATAATGATTTATTTTCCGACCACGTCTCTTCAGTTCGATTTTTCACAAAGACGGAAATGTAGGTAACGCGCTATGAATAAAAAAAATATATTAGCTATGTATTTGTATAAGAAACCTCACTTCGCACCTAACGGAGGGTTAGGGAAATTGATATTTTGATGGATTATTTGTTATATGGCCGATAGCTATTTATCAAATAAAAAAAAATATTCATATTTAAACAATGCAATTCTAGAAAATTGTTTATTTAAGAACGAATGATGTTTCTCAGAATAATATAAACAATACGAGTATAATAAAATAGATGAGAATTCAAACGGATTATAGAAAATATATAAATATAAAATATTAATTAATAAAGTTCGATAAATTTATAAATTTTAATAGTTTGACATTAATATACAAAATAGTTTTATATTTATGTCTACTGGTTAAGCCTTATTTTATGAGGTATTATATTACTTGAGAAGTGTAAAAAATAAAAGTATTATTAATAATAACACAATATACCATTTAAAGACCAGGTATCAATTTGACATATATGTATAAAAAAAAAAATCTCTCTCTCTCTTCAGTCACACACAGAGTGGTCGTGGTTTTTACAATGATAGTGGAACGTCGATGAGGCCCTCCTTCGCGATTGAGGTCCTCGCAATGCGTCTCCATCTACTTCTGTTCACAGACAATTTGATACTAACTTTTTATTTCATTTCATAACTGTCATTGTTGTTATTTATCATTTTTTTATTTGAAAAATAAATCATTGTATCAAATTATTCGCAAATAATATTGAACATGGTTTCTTTAGCTCATCATAATTAGTTGCTTAGTTTATTTTCAAATATTCGATCTTTTTTCATACCGCAAGATTTCTCTTTTTCTACTAAAGCATGTTTAGATAAAAAAATAAAAGAATAAATATGCCCCTGACTATAATCCCTAATAGTGAGTCAGATGTATTTGTTGACTGCTGCCGTTGTGATAAACGTAGCACTCGACTGACCCACATTCTGCCGAGCTTATTGGAATCAAACCTGACAGGGGGCGAGCCTACCGCCGTCAATAACTACAGATGCTTAGTAGAGTATACAATATTAAACATCTATTTATTTATTTATTTAAACATTAATGCATAGTAAAATTCTATGTATATTTGGCAGCCTTTACACCGAACGGTGTTCTCTATCAGGAAACCGAGAAATAAGTAAGCAGTGCATTATTAAATAGAGTAAAAATTAAGCAATACTTGATATATTCATATATTATAAACATAGAATTAGACTAATATAAATATATAAACATATAAAAAATATATAATTAAATGTATAAAATATTACTATATCAAATAATTTACTGTAATAGAAGAGCAAACAACAATCTATGATTACAACCAGTAAGATTCGGTTAATATTCTAAACGTCCACCTTACCAATTTTAACATATATTTCAAATTTCCAACAGAACAAACATGCCTTATCGAATCATTGTTACGTAAAGGTAGTTATTTTTTTTGCATTTTTCATAAATATAACTTTGCGATTGTGACAATGTCACAATGAGGAATGCGATATGAATACATTTATTTTTCAGAGGAAGAAAAACGTGACGGACATATGAAAATAAAAACCAGTTAAGTGTGAATTGAACTCACTCGCCGGAAGTTCTGTACATAAAATTGTCTCCAAAACGATTTTTTATTTCTTTAGATAAAAAAATATTTAAATTTTTGATTTGAATTTTATATATGAAATGTTCTACGACTGTTAATCAAAAATATATCAAAACATAAATAGAAATAAAACAAAATTATTCAATTCATCCACTGCAATTCGAAGACAAACGTAGTGAAAAGTCGCATTTGCCATGAACTGCCATGAGTTCCTATTGAACTTGAAACTATTCGGACATCTCCTAATTTAAAACGCGAGTAAAGCCAACATACAATAAATAATTAAAATACAGCATAAAAATAAATTTATTCTAAAATATTAAAAAAAAAATAACCTTTTATATAGTGTGATATCCCATTTGGTTTAATGAGTCCATTTTGAAATTTTAAGTAACCATTATGGACGCCCTAGTAAAGAATATAAAAATATTATTAGTTATTTTTATTAATCAGTTATTACCGTTACAGTATATGTGGGCTGATAATATATAAAACTATATAATTCAAATTTGAAATCGATGGCTTTTTTTTATACCACTGAGGTGGCAATATAGCATACGGCCCACCTGATTGTAGTCGCTGAGATACAGCGCTGTGACAGACGGATGGATGAATGGACAAAGTCACACCATAAAGGTTTCTTTGTACCGTTTTATTTCAGAACCCTAAAAATCGAGTTAACGTGATACAATTTCGTTATTGCAAATTTCGTATATGAAATTATAATGTTTCGTGTTATAAATAATGTTACTAAAAATTTCCAAATAATATTTTCAATTTAGTAATTGCGAGTACTAATTGAACGATTCTAAAAGTGGCGTTGGATTATTTTTTAACGAAATTTGAAGGAGACATATTCAGTAGTGGACAATGGACGACGACTTCAGAAGTTTGGATTTTTTTCAAATTAATAAATGTTGCTTCTAATGGCGCGTTTAAATTTTAAATAGGTATGAATAGCTTTCATTTATTTTTCACTTTTCCATTCACGTTTCTTTACATTGGCACAGATTGTAGTAGAAATAAGATAAAATAATTGTGGCATACTAGTGTCTACTACAATTCAAATCCTCTTTCCTTTTTAAAGAGAATTCTACAATCCTCTTTAAACAGGAAGGAAAGGGACTATTACGAGCAGCTTTAAGCTCAAACCATAAGTCCAGATGTTTTTATGTAATACTTATCAAGGAATAATTCTCAAATTTTTATTTACATATATTATACTTGTAAAATAATAATGTAAATATAATTCTTGCACAGAAAAGTACTCATAATTTCATCTGTCAAAAACACCGATAAAAACCTTCAATAAAATATTTTGGTACATAGTAAAAACAATTCAATATATAAATTTAAAATTGATTAAAATTTACATATTTAGAAGAAATTATTATATTTTTAAATTAATTTAAGTTAGAAAAGCATTGTTATTACATTGTGTAACCTTCATAAAAGGTTGGTTGGCCCGAGGTTGACCCTTTTATAATTATATTACAAAAGAAAGAGTATATTTAAATGAACTGTCAATACAAGTCTTTTTCTGTTTAATAATCACGCTATCAAATTCGTGAAAGACTCGGTGTATATAAAGTATAAACATAAATATTTGATTGTAATGTATCTATCGATAAAACAGGTAAATTCTATGAATTATTAAAATAATAATAAAAGACCTACAAAAAAAAGTCGATTTCAATTGTTACAAAAACAGTTATGTTGATCTAAAAACTAAACGATTAAACTAATTTTGATGAAATTTCTATGGGACTAATCTGTAATATATGCTTTCATATGAAAATTGTTCTAATAAATTTAGAACTGACGGAGGTACGAGGTAAAACCTAATTAACCTAAACCTAATATAACGTATCACTAGAAAGCATACTAGTATATAGTCTGTTTCAATTGAACTTAATGAACATGCAAATAAATCAAAATAAATTCTGCTGATGTCCAATAGTATCGTTAATCAAAAATTGATTAAATGAATGATTTTTTATAACTTATGGAATACTTAATAATATGAAAAGTTTTCTGCCAGAATTATGTGTGTTAATATATACGTATATAATTATACGTATGTTAATGTTGTATATATATTTATATGTATATATTTATATATATGTATGAATATAATTGTGTTTATATATACATGTTCAGATTTATTTTTAACGCGGCACCCTTTTATTCTTTATTTCCTTTTACTCAAAGATCGTGTAGAAAAGATTGCTTAGCAATAAGGCCACCTTTTGTACTACACTATTCTTCTTGAAAATTTTTCAACAAGACCTGTAATATTAGTGTAATAAAGTGTTAAATACATAAAGAAATAAAATAACATACATTTTTTTAATTGTTACTAATTTCATTTAGAGAGTGTTTTCTTAACAAAACGATGTTTGTACACAAAAACTTAAGTGAATTATTACATATTAGATTTGCAGTAAAAGCTGCATTAAAAAAAAAGAAATTCAAAAGAAATTCTAAGGGATTTCTTATAAAATATGTTTTGTACTGCTTGGTACAAGTTTTAATTTTGTGATAATAAGTTACTGCCTTGCTGTTACCACAGCTGTTTGAAATCACTTTGACAAAAATAATAAAAAAAATATGCTTGTATTTTTATTACACTGTCGAAGAAAGAACAGTGATATATTTCAGGTGTATTTTTGTATGTAAATCCGGACCTACAGAACTGAAAAGTATTTTTTTAATGGATGATAAAAGACTCATAATCGCGTCTGCGATATCGGTATACACTGGCGGGGCATCAGTGTGAGTTGATAGATGAAAATCAACTACGTTGGTATCCAAGGCGTTGATATACGAGGCAATTAATCTCAGTTATCGATAATTCTTTTCCCTGACTGAAACATGATTTACGTAAATATATATTTTAATTTCTGTTTTGCACTACTATTGCCCATTCACTACTTCCTATGCCACTGTGTTAGGTAGACTGGAAGAAAACTCTTTTAGAGATAAGTTTGCCTTTGCTAACATTGTTATTAATTTATTGTTGTTACTGTATGTTTGCAATCATATATATATATATATATATATATATATATATATATATATATGATTGCACAATGCTAGCTGTATGAAAATGCTCCAAATCCAAGTCATAAGGGCTTTTCCAGTAGTTGCCACGCTTGTCAGGCGAATTGGCAACCGTAGTCAGACTTTAGAAATGTTTCAATAGAGACGCTGCCGCCCATCCCTCGCACTATCGACGGTAAATATGATCAATTGGAAAAATAATAACGTAAAATAGAAAAATATTAGTAAAACTATACCCAAAATAAGTCCAACTTTGTTAAAACATTTCAGTGGCAATTTTACACATGAAAATTTACACTGTCCTTATTGCACATGAGTGCATTTAATGCAATTCAGTTGGGCACTAATGAACCGCGTATGTGAACTGAAACCAGTTTCAGTGTGCATTTACCAGTTACAGCTGGTTTTAACTAGTTTTACACCTGGGTAAACCATTTGATGCGTAATTGAAATTGATACAAGTTGTTACCGTGTAATTCACTAGAAAATAATTGTATAAAATAGCCGCCTATTTGCATTCTGTTGAAATGGCGAATAAAATACAATTTTGTCGAATTTAAGTGAATATAACTAACTAACTGACACATATATAGACTGGAACAGCACTATTGATATCATAGACTATATTCCTTAGTAGACGTTAATGTTATATCTCGCCGCACTATCGGTATACGTTGGCAGGACACCAGTGAGTGGTGATAGGTGACAAAAATTAATCACGATGATTTCCAGGGATAACTGCTTAGAGGTTAAACTAACAGAGTATATTGCTATATAGCAATTAGGATTAACATCTCTACTACTAATAACTGACGCTTCACGTTCTTTTTTTTATTTTTTTTTTTATGATGCTGTCATTGTGAAGTGCGATAATTTATTCAGAGTTTATTCTTTTCGGTTTTGGTTGTAATTTTTTGTGTATTTGTTGTAATGTTTTATGTATTTATTGTAGTGTTTTATGTATGTGTTGTAATGTATTATGTATTTGTTGGTAAGCGTGTTGAGTCTCCCATCCGAGAAATAGGTATTAGCGACTCGCACGCATGCTAAAGGTAAAGAAGTTAAGGGGCCGCCTGAAAATCAGCGCTATATAGGTACATCTCGCTGGAGCTGTACATATATAGCAATAGCTGAGGCGGCTCCTATTACCAGCAACATTAATTGTTTTTTTTTTCTTTTTGTTGTTTTAATTTCTTAGTAATGGTAATAAATGTCATCTATCTATCTATCTATCTATCTAATCCCTCTTCCTCCCAACAGAATATACTATGATATCTACGGTGCCTCTTAATAATTACTATTCCCGGTTACTTACATACTATGTCTCAATAACCTATAATTTCGGGGTGAAAGGGATTGTTAGAAATGGAGTTTGATAGCCCCATTGCTAGCAATACGCCCTATTAGGTCGACCTCCACGTGGTTCCCCCTGGAAACCATCATGAACAATTCTTGTTGAATTCGTCACGATGGGCTAGTTAGGATTATAAGTGAGGATGAAGCAGGTCAGTTGACCTGCTTCATCCTCACTTATAATCCTTCACTGGTGCCCCGCCGGTGTATGCCGATGGCATGGGTGGAGTTGCCATTCCATTATCACCCATTAAAAAAACAACTATAATTTCGCTTACTCCATCATTATAATCGAAAGTAATTTTGTGGCAGAAACATGTTTGGAATAGAGATACCCATACATATGTTTTTTATGGGGGAGAGGAGAGAGGATTGTTAGTAATGGGGACTAGCGACCCCATTGCTAGCAGTATAACCTGTAAATTCCACAAATTAACCACGCGGTTTCCCTTGGAAACCATCGTAGTCAATTTGTGACTTGCTTTCATTCTAAACTATCATATTTCACTAGTGCCCCATCAGCATATACTGACAACGCTGGCGAGGTTTTCACCCATACAAAATGTCTTTTGTACAATATTTCTGTAAATTATGTAAACTAAGGGAACTTCATGGACGAGGCATGGACAGCATTCCCTTTTAAAACATTACCAAAAGCCTAACTACGGTTGTCAACCCGCCCTGCCAAGCGTGAACACAAAAATTCTTAAATTATAAAATGCTAATATTTTTTTTATGCAACTTAGAATGGCAGACAAGCTGACGGCCCACCTGATGGAAAGTGGTAATAGTCTCCTATAGACTCATACCATACTGTAGTACTGCTCATACCATGGACATAACAGAGTATACTATTACGCCCATGATACCCCCCATGCGTTGCCATACCTGAGGACTCAGGTATTCCTCTGTATCCTGTAAATTCACTGCCATATCCCATCCTTCACACCGAAACACAGCTGTGCAAACACAACTGCTTCATGGTTGAAATACGAATGGGACAGATGTGTCCAAGCAAAGGACTTTTGTACAGTCTTTTTCTGGTAGATATAGTTAAACAATATATATTATATTATTAATATTCAAAGAATAACAATATAATTATTCTTCGAATACATCACAAAGTGGAGATACAATTGTTTATAGTGGATTTCATTATGTAAAACCAATTTTCACTTGACCTGTCCAGGTAATTGGATACTGTATCAATACTCAATAGACCTATATCGTTTTCAGCTGGGCTGCGTTATTTGCAGTACTTGTTCTCGTGAATGCACTGATTTCGAATTTCGAATACATCACTGAAATTTTAAACAATAAAAATAGGGACAATTTTTTTCATATGTACTTCAAAAGTTTTTGTTTACATCATCATCGTCATATCAGCTATTAACTGTCCACTGCTGAACATATTTCTTTCCCATAATGAAAATAAATAGGGGTTTTGTCAGTAGTTGCCATGCTTGGCAATCGCAGTTAGGTTTTAGTGATATTTTAACGAGGACACTGCTGCAAATCCTTTAATCATTAAGTTTCCTTAGTCGCCTCTTACGACACCCCCACGCTAGAGGTAGTCCCACGAAGGGGTAGCCAATTCTATGCCGAGACTACACGGTATATTTATAATATAAATGAGATAAGAACATTAATACACCAATTTTAAAAATACGTACCTACAGTATGTCTGTACTTTAGCGTCTTTTCTTATCAAATCTGTAACAAAACAAAATCATTGTTAGTTATTATACACTGGATTTAAGTAGGTAAGATGTAGATATATTTTTATGCGTATTATCATAATAATTATTATAAGACACAGGAGTCTTTTATTATTATAGAATACATTTAATTATAAAATAAAAGAAGTAATTAAAAATACAAACGGAAATTCTAGCAAATATTCAATACAGTATATGAAAAATATTTAAATACAAAATGGACGCTTTCAATAGCTCGGTATAAGAATAGCCGAATACAAAAATTAAACCGGTCAAGTGCGAGTTGGATTTTAACGTTAAGGGTTCAAGATATTCGACTCCACCCATATCTTGTCCTAAGATAAAATCTCCTCCTTTTTCGCTTAAAAAATAAATATATTTTAAACGACTTCAAAAAGGTGGAGATTCACAATTAGGCAGTACTTTTTTGTGTTGTTACGTAATATAATTGGCACTTTTAGAACGATTTTATATAGTAAAATTTACTCTCTAATTATTCCATATTAATTTTATTATGTTTGAAATCATCTTTTTAATCTTTATTTGAATATTAACTTGGAACAGGTTTTATTGTAAAGTTTTTATGGAGAAGTTTAGGTTTTTGTATATTACTATTGGTTTATTAACTTATTACAAAATTATAATACTCTTCAAAGTGAAAAATTATGAATTAATTAATAACAATATCACAGTATAAGAAACAAACAATAGTCTAATGCTTTTAGTATGCCCAAAACGATTACATGACTCTTCAGAAAGTATCCGTTGGATAATTTATTGTTAGGAAAGACCTTCTAATCTATAATATTATAGGTATACCTTAATGAAAACTTTATTTATTTATTGCACCACTTAAAGAATATAACAAGGATATATATATAGTCTCTTGCATTGAAAGTGCTCAATAAAATTTTGAGCCGGTATCCGCAATTGGACGTATTTGCATCCAACTTGCTGGAGTTTCGTTGGATGACCACAGAGTGTTTGTGTTCAGAGATTTAGGTTCTAATGTTATTTCTAGTTAAGTTAAATCTTTTTTTTTTTATATTATTCCCTTTAATTATGTGTATTATTCCTTTTTTATAGTATATGTTATCGTACTGATGCTTTCCTGGGTGAGAGTGAGCGTATTTGGAGACTGTAAAGCTCATCCAGCTGATGTGATAAATAAATAAATATATCTTTCAGACAATCTTTTAATTAGGAGGGAAAGGAATTGTTAGTAATGGAAACTGAGAATCCTATTGCTAGCAATATACCCAACCAGGTCGATCTCCTCGCGGTTCTCCCTGGAAACTATCATGGTTAATTCCTGATGAATTCATCATGATGGGCTAAGTGGCCTGTTTTCATTCTAATCTATCACCATTCACTGGTACTCCGCCAGCGTATCCCGTGGGCGCAGGCGGGGTTACCATACCATTTTCACCCATCAAAAAAAAAACTTTTAATTAGTAATAAAGCAATTCATATGAATTATATTTAGTATTTGATTACAATATACTGTAAACAAAATTCAAATTCAACGTACATATAAAAATGCGAATATAATTAAGAGAAAACTAGAATAGTAAGTAAAGGCGCTGTAATTCGGACGGCCTCCAAAAGTGGATTGCAGGGCCCAGCTTAAGTGAGATTTAAACAGGTCCAAATTAAGGGATGGCGGTGTGTCGAAATGCATCATGGCGCAATAACAGAACGTTGCCAACTCGTAAAGTGCACCATCAAATGTAACGCCATCGTAAATGCCGGCAAGATACACTTTATTGCTAGTAATACATATATGCTTCATGTAAATTGTGCTTGCGAGGTAGCAGGAAGTCGTAAAGTTTGTATGTTTTAAGAATAAAGGTGGAGATAAAAAAATTGCTTTGCCACACGAGAGAGCGAGACAGAAGGTGGATGCATGGATTATGTTATTATTGCGATATATAATTTGAGAAATGTGTTGTAACCTTGAATGTATAATAATATATTGTGCTTACATTTCCGCCAGCGATGATTTATCGCCTTGTAAATAACATCTACACTGTGCTGAGTATCACTTGGTGTATATCTTCATAAACATTGTCATTAACGAATGATGTTTAATAGGATAGAAGCGAGCAAATGACGTCTTATGATCGTTGAATATCTTATTATAAAAAATACTATCTTGTGGAACCCTAAAAGATATGTTATTTTAACATTTAATGTGAATATTATAGTAGCTAAAAATGTTAATAGGATTTTTGTTTCTAAAAAATCTAATTGCTTGATTTTCTTACAGGACTCTCGACACTTGTTTTAAGATTAAAATATAAATTCAAGTGTCCACAACACCTACATTGTACTTATAATGCCCATCCAATATATAAAAATCGTAAAATTGAAGCAGGTTTATTTTAAATTCTATTGCTACAGCTTGGGAAATAAACACATGTGACACTTTAAAATGATATTAATCACTAGCTGTTACAAGCGACTTTGCTCGTTTGGATCCCGTTCTCTCCCGTTAACGTGGCAATTTCGGGTATTTTTGTATAGTGCTCACTTAAAGTCTCTTATCCTGTGTCTCATCCTTTATCCCGTTTCATCATTTGTGCCCATTATCATTTACCACAACAAATTGTTACAACTTGCGGTGTAATGTTTAAATACTATAGTATGAAACCAAAATATTGTTACTGTAAAAATTTAGAGCATTTTATATCAACTTGTGCGAAAATAGGGCGTTTGAAATTTTTTTGTCCATTTTAGAGACACATTTCTTTAGGAAAAATGTTCTAAATCACTTATGATAGTAGTTATCTTTCCACCCTGTATAATTATCACATAGTCCACATTGATTAAAGATAACGGAGTTATGGCATAGCAGGGTGGTTTGAGTAATTAATGTGAATTGCTGGCGGCGTAATGGGTCGGATTGTTATGCTCCTAAAATATGGACAAACGCTATGTTAACTAGCTCATCTGTCATACTCGTAAATGGTACTATTTGTACGGATTAGTATAATTTAATTAACTATAACTGATCTTCTTTAGCTTACTTCCAATGTTAGTTGCGAAACTTGTAAATTCAATTTTCGTTTAAAAAGATTAACTACTAAATTTCTTATCCGTTTTCCTCGACTGATATTGTATTTCAAATTGGGTAGTCAATAAATATATATATATATATATATATATATATATATATATATATATATATATATATATATATATATATATATATATATATATATATATATATATATATATATATATATATATATATATATATATATATATATATATATATATATATATATTATATATGTATTTTATTATTATTCTGTATGTCTAATTTTATTGATATTGATTATACTGCGTTTAAATTTATTTTTAACTCTTTTTCTCCTTATATAATCTTATTATTTTTCCGTTACGCCTTGGCCAGACACAATTTTAATTATTCCTCTGAATCCTAAGGTTACTAGAAGCGATTGCTATTTAGCGATAAGACTGCCTATTGTTGCCTCTTTATCTTGATTTTTTGTAATTAAATATTCATTTTGTTTGTGTACATATTGTTAATCTTTATATCATTCTTTGTAAAAAACAGTAAAGAGTTCGTTCATTCATTTTTAAATGATTTATTGACACGGGTAAAATCGCGACATACAGCTATAGAAACAGTAATAAACATAATAGAAACGCAAGTTATATAACTTATATCAACATTTACCGCTTGTATATCCATTGATTCGATAGCTAAAGCAAATTACCGCTTCGTACCAGACAATAAAATGAAAAAATAACAGCCGGTTACGGAATATCCGGATAATATCCGATCATTTTATTGCCGCACCAGATAATCAGAATGAGGTTTTACGCATCTAGCTACAGTACAGTTAACGTTCGCCAGAGGTCAAGGTGAATCTATCCATAATGCACACAGGATGGTCATTTCGACCGCAGATAAAATTTAATTTCTTGACTTCCTCTTAAAGTTAAAAAAAACAATTGTACTTAATACGTAAAAATATACAACAACATTAAAAAAAAAACAATTAAAATACAGTAGAATAGATTACAGGTTAAATTAAAGAAATAAAAAAGTAGGTACAAGAGGCGATCTTATCACTAGAGCCATCTCTACAGATAATCTTTGGTTAATGGAAAACAGAAGTTGATAGAAGTAACGCAGGAGTGAATTAAATAGAATACAATTCAGGACCAATAAATACAAATAAAATTATATATATACTAAACTACATATTAATAAATAATATGTAATACAACATCTTCATCGTTTCAGCCGTTATCTGTCCACTGCTAAACATGCATTTGAGGTTGTCCTACACTAATATATATAATGTAATACATGCTGTACACACAATCCAGCACTGAACTATGGACGAGCGTCCTCTGGTGTATAAATAAAACAAACCAGTGATGTTGGATCGTTGTACATGAGAAAGTTACTTTATTCCAATAATAATACATGTATTTAGCCTACGTAACAAATCAAATTATAGCGCAGTCTAATTTTTTGGCAGCGCCATCTGTTTTAACCTTAGGTACTAAGCAATTTTATACAAACTTATACATTCCGCCCACCAAGGACATAATTTTGTCCTTCACATTCCAAACCGCCCACCATGCTTATAATGACAAAAATAAACTAACAATTTGGCGGCAAGGGCTAATGCTTATTATCTTATTAACTAATAAGTGTTGATACAGCTTAATAACTAATAGATAACAATTTTATTCAGTAACTGGTAACACACATAATTTGGATGCAGGGCGTTTGAATACTGAATTCTGATTTCGTATAGTCACTACTCGCGTGATGTTATCTTTACCCGGATGTTTGGCAATTACGCGTCCGAGTAGCCATCGACAAGGAGGTAAGTCGTCTTCTTTTATTAAAACTATGTCCCCAATTTCAGGTTCTGGCTTTTGATATGACCACCTATACCGATGAAGAAACCTTGTAAGGTATTCTTGAGACCACCGTTTCCAAAAAGTTTGTGTCACCTTCTGTATCAACTGCCACCTTTGAAGACTAGAAATATTGGACTTTTCAAAATTGTGATCTGGAACGGTTAGCAATGGACCACCAACAAGAAAATGCCCCGGCGTCAAAACATCAATTGTATCTTGATCTGAATCTATTCTGGTCAAAGGACGTGAATTTAAGCACGCTTCTATTTGAGCCAAAGTTGTAGATAACTCCTCGTATGTCAAAGTCAAATTGCCAACTAATCGCTTTAGATGGAATTTAGTGGATTTTATCCCGGCTTCCCAGATCCCTCCGAAATTAGGTGAGTGCGGTGGGATAAAATGCCACGTTGTTCCTTGCGTGGCTAAAATTTCAGCGACCTCGTTTGCAATGTTTTTATTTTCTGCAGCAAACAATGTTCGTAATTCGCGGGCGGCACCGACAAAATTAGTCCCATTGTCACTCCACACGTCTGTACATAAACCTCTGCGAGCAACGAATCGTCTGAAAGCAGCTAAGAATCCTTGTGTGGTAAGGTCACTAACTACCTCAAGATGAACGGCTTTTGTGGTCATACATACAAAAAGGCAAATATACCCCTTCATAGAATGATGTCCGCGACCTTTTGTAGTTCTAATATTTATAGGTCCTGCATAATCAATGCCACTGCACTGAAAAGGTCTTCCTGGCGACACTCTTGCTGTGGGTAGTTGTCCCATCAACTGGGTAGAAGTACCGGCAGAGTAGCGCATACATTTGACACACTTGCGAACATACGCCTTAACTAATGATTTCGCGCTCAAAATATAATATTTAGTTCCGATAAAGGCTAACATAAGTTGCGGACCTCCGTGTAACGTTCTCATATGGGCATCAGCAATAATAAGATGCGTCAAGGATGACCTTTTTGGCAATAATATTGGATGTTTGGCGTCTACATTGAGTTGGGATTGTTCGAGTCGTCCTCCAACACGTAAAATTCCAAGATTGTCAATATAAGGATTCAAGGACTTCAGTGGGCCTTTAATTGTACTGTACTCTTTATTTCTATTAATATGCGCTATCTCTTCACTGAAACTTTGCATTTGACAAACCTTGATACATGTTTCTAAAGCACCAGATAATTCCTTAGTTGAAAGAAAAGCAGTGTTTGATCTCTCCTGATTGTTCCGCCGGTTCAGAAAACGTTTACAATACGCGACCACTCGAATTAATTTTGTTAAAGAATTATACCGATCCCAAATTGTAGTTTCCGTGACACTTACGTGAACTTTACATTCTTCTAAATGTGTAACAATGCTCTTCGGCCTTTCGTATTGCACTTCGTGTTTATATAAAAACTCCGGTCCATTGAACCATCTCGTATTTTGCCATAAATCCAATGGACTAACTCCTCGTGACGCACAATCGGCAGGATTTTGACTTGAAGTTACATGTGCCCATTGTTGAGAATCTAAAGTTGACAAAATTTCGGATACCCTGTTAGCAACAAAAGTTTGCCATTTGCTCGGATGGCTATTCAACCACGCTAATACTACCGTAGAGTCTGTCCAAGCTCTAATATCAGTCTTCGATACACCTATAATCTCTGCTATTTCGACTAATAGTCGAGTCAGAAGCACTGCACCACATTAACTCTAATCTAGGAACTGAAATTTGTTTGATTGGTGCAACTTTAGTCTTAGCAGAAACCAAAGAAACGTGGATATTACCCTGTTCATCTATTAATCGTATATAAACTACAGCTGCATACGCTATCTTCGACGCGTCTGAGAAGCCATGCAATTCGACTTGTGAGGATGTGAATTGAGATCCATACCATCTTGGTATATCAATTTTCTTCAATTGAGACAAGCCTTTGCGGTAAGTACACCACTCATTAATTATATTATTTGGAATTTCATCATCCCATCCTACTCCTAAAATCCAAAGCCTTTGAATTAATACCTTTGCTATGATCACGCTAGGAGCTGCCCAACCTAGCGGATCGAATATTTTTGCTATTTCCGAAATAATCTTTCTTTTTGTTACAGGCCCAGATTCCGGAGGAAGATTTACCGAGTACCGAAAGACATCTGCTGATCGATTCCAGGTAAGTCCTAAGAGTTTAACTACTTCATCTAATTTTAGCTTGAACCCTTCATGTGTTTCTTCCTTTCCTTGCTTGATTTTATTTAACAACTCCTCACTATTAGTCATCCACTTCTGTAATTCAAACCCTCCTCTTCGTAATAGCTCATTCATTTCTTCATAAATAATAGCACCTTCTTCTACTGTATCACACCCCGTCAAAAGATCATCCATATAAAAATCAGTTTTTACCCTTTCAGCTACATTTGGATAGTTTATACCTTCGTCTACTGCAGCTTGTTGCAGTGTTTTCACTGCTAAGTAGGGAGCAGCCGCCGTACCAAAGGTAAGTCTTTTTAATCTGTAATCTTGTATTTGTCCATTTTTATTATTATACCAAAGCACACGTTGGTAGTCTGCATCTTGATCATACACTTTGACTTGACGGTACATTTTGTTAATATCAGCAGCTAGGACTATTTTAGGTTTTCTCCATCGCATGATTAAATGGCGTAATTCAGGCTGCAGTCTTGGCCCTATCATTAAAATGTCATTTAATGAAACGCCATTTTTGTTTTTTGCAGAAGCATCAAATACGACACGAACCTTTGTCGTATCCTTGTTGTTGTTAACGACCGCGTGATGAGGTAAGTAAAAACTTAATTGATTACTCTTTTCTGTTTCAGGTATCTTCTCCATGTGACCTAACCGTAAGTACTCATCCATTACCTCTATATATTTTTCTTTCAGGTTTTTATTTTTATTTAATTTTATCATTAATCTATTTAATCGTTTAGCAGCTATTTCTCTAGAATCTCTCTTTATCTGTTTACGATTTTCATACTTAAAAGGAAGCTTCACGATGTATCTTCCAGTACTATCTCGTTGTGTGGTCTCCATATATATTTGTTCACAAAAAGTTTCTTCTTCTGTCAAAATTCGTTTTGATGAATGAGGATCATTCTCGATCTCCCAAAATTTCTTGAGGAGATTATTGTCATCTGTACATAAATGCATGGCTACAATATTAGTATCTGAGTTAGATATCTCATCGACAGTCCCAGAAAGTATCCATCCCAGTGACGTAGCTTGAGCTACTAGTAAGCCTCGAGGTCCCCGTTTTAACCCATCTTCAATAATTTGCCCATACACTTCAGCTCCTAACAAAATATGTATTTTGTTAGGAGTATGATATTGTGGATCTGCTAGCTGAATTCCATTTAAATCTAACCAGTCTAATTCAATTACCTTTTTGCTTGGTAGTAACGTGGTAATTGTTTTTAATACATACGCCTGCACATTAATTACTATTTCAGGTTTAACACGTGAACGTACCTTTAGTTGAACCATGTATTTGACAGTTACATTCTTGTTTCCATCCAGACCAGATATAGTCCCTCTCACTGGAATCTTCTTAACTCCCAAATACTGAACAGTTGATTCTGTAACGAAGGATGCTTGCGATCCTTGGTCAAGCAATGCCCTTATCAATCTTCTCTCATTATTATAAGCATCAACTTGTATAAGTGCAGTAGCTAGCAACACTTGGCTATGAGCTGCCATTTGACCCGTCGAAAAACATGACACTACATTACTAGATGACGATTCACCTAAAGCCGTTTCAACTTTATCGTCGTTAGTTACTAATTCAACATTACTTGATGTATTGACAGAACTTGAGATCTCAGGACGTTTTTTACCAGTTGGATGCAAGAGGGAGTGATGCTTTCTTTTACAAACTTTACAACTAACAGTACTCTGGCAAGACTTGACAGAGTGGTTGCCGCCCAGGCAATTAAAACACAGACGATTTTTTGCCACAAATTCGTAACGATTACTGTAGTCTAATTTTGCAAACTTCGTACAAAAGCATAATTTATGAGGTTCGGAACAGAATTCACAAACTACATTAGTAGTCACATGCATACAAGTTTTTGTTTTAGGAAATGATCCGCTATTAGGAATTGAAGACTTCTGCCTCGGTTCTATACATTCTAGAGCTCTAAATCTACTTTGTAGAAACTCAGAAAACTGATTGTAAGTAGGTAGATCGTTTGAAATTTCAGCAGATATCTTCAGCTCCCACTGTTTGCGTGTCTCTTGGTCTAATTTATAATTAACAATATGTATTATAATGATGTCCCACGAATTTACATCTACTCCAAGATTTTTTAAGGCGTGCATACAATCAGTTGTGGTATCTAATAAATCTTTTAATGCGGATGCCGATTCATTATTTGAAGACCTTTGGCTAAATAATCTCTTTAAAATACAATTAGCTAAATATCGTTTGTTATTGTATCTATTCTCTAACTGTTCCCAGCACTGTTTATAATTTGCAGATGTTACTGGAACTTGTCTTATTAACTGCTCCGCTTCTCCAGTCAAATGTCCTTTTAAATAATGTAACTTTTGAACATCATCTAATGACTCATTGGAATGAATTAACGATACAAACATATCTCTGAATGTTGCCCATTCTATATATCGTCCGGAAAATGCTGGGATAGTAATTTTGGGTAATTTGACTGCAGAAGAGGATCCATTATTGGTCTTAGAAGAACCGGAACCTTTATCATCACTTGTTACTTTATTCTGATTAAATGATTTTAAATATTTTTTAAGTAAACTTTTATAATCCACAAACATTTCCTCAGTTTTCTCATACACATCTTCTTTAATATAGAAACTACGCTGTATATCTTCCCATTTATATTCCTTAATTATTTGCTGATGTGTAGTAATAAACTCAAGCCATAACTGTTCTACATTATCAAGTTTTGTTTCTACGTAAGACTCTGTTATTCGCTCTTTAGGAGATTTTTTAAAGTTTATTTGAGCCTTTGATATTCTATTAAAGATATCCTTTTGACAATTTAATAACCCCTCCATATTAAGTAATTATTAAATTGTAATTAATAAAATTTTAAAAATATCTGCTATCGCACTCACACCACAACACTTACTGCTACTGGTCCGTCACACCATGTGACGTTTCTGTTTTTCCTCTGACGTCGCTGGTACCTCCAACCTCTAGCTCCAACGCTGTCTCGTTCACTCCTTGAGCAGAGCCAAGCAGTACTGATGCTTGAACCCGAGCAGCGATCCACTGCCCCTACTATGTTCTATTTTCAGCCTTTCTTACCACCCAACTCTAGGGAAGATTGGCATCCGGCTCGAAGGACCAAAATATGTACACACAATCCAGCACTGAACTATGGACGAGCGTCCTCTGGTGTATAAATAAAACAAACCAGTGATGTTGGATCGTTGTACATGAGAAAGTTACTTTATTCCAATAATAATACATGTATTTAGCCTACGTAACAAATCAAATTATAGCGCAGTCTAATTTTTTGGCAGCGCCATCTGTTTTAACCTTAGGTACTAAGCAATTTTATACAAACTTATACACATGCATATGAATGAAACATTACAGAAGAAACGAAACTGTGTATTAATCATTAAAAAGATTTTTAAAGATATCAATTAATTTCTGTAGTAAGCGACTGACCAGCGTTAATTCTGTAAGCAGAAGTAATATTTTTATTCGCCTACGTTATCGGTATATGCTGGCGGGACACCAGTGAGTGATCGTAGGTGAGGATAGAAAAAAGTTTGTCCGTTCATCGTGACGAATTCATCGAATGAATGAATGAATGAGTATACTTTATTTGCATTATACAATATATGAAATAAACAAAACAATTAATAAATATAACGATACAGTTGTATAAGTGCAGTAAGGCGGTCTTATTGCAGAGAGCAATCTTTTCAAGACAATCTTAGGGTAGTGGACTAATTGTTGTATAAGTAGGTATTGTATAAATAAGAAAATTAACAGAATAAAACATTAAGGAAAATAATTATTTTATTTATTTATTTATTATTATTTCTCACCACAAATAATTTAGAATTTAAAGTAAGAATTATAAGTATTAAGTATATATAAGTAAAAATCAAATTAAATAATAATAATAAAAAAGTGATTAACTATATATAATATATAATCCTAGACCAGATACTATTACAACATATAGATAATTATAGGCATAAAGAAAATAAATTAACATAAAATAAAAAAAAATATATAAATACATAAATAAAGAATGCCAGTTTATCAAATGAAGAACCAATCAGATAGAGAAAAGATAATCTTTCACTTGTCGCTTGAAAGCATCGAGGGATATTGTACTTCTAATGACAACAAGTAATGAATTCCATAACTTAACGCTAGAAACGGTGAAGGAATTGTGATAAAATTTAGTGGAATGAGAAGGTTCATTAAGAATTAACCACGATGTTTTCCAGGGGAACCATTTGGAAGTCGACCTGACAGAGTGTATTACTAGCAATGAGGCTTCTAGTTTCCATTCCCATTCCAACAATTCCTTCTCCCTCCTGCATTTTATAATTCTGAACCGTTTTGATTCTTTTTAATTTTCGTGTAAGTGAATTTTTTTTAATGGTAGTAGAATAGCAATCCTGTACTATTGGTTGATGCTAAAGGAATACCGATTATGCGAACGAAAACGCAGGTAAAAGCTAGTGATTGAATAAAATTATACAATTCTTCTGCACACCGCACCCTTCAGCACCATTCCATACTCCGAGCGTTATTTGATTTATAAAAGCATTATAGAAACAAGGGGCTGCCATAAATTGTATAAACTAGGAACTGTGCATGTTTCGAAGTTTTATTACCACTAAACTCAGTGATAACCTCGGACGGTGAAAAATGGATTGCTTGCTTTACAATGTTGGTAGTGCTGTTGGTTTATGTAGCGTGTTTTGTGACGCTTGATAACATTATGCATATTATATTTCTGGTGCTACTATTAAAGCCCGCGACTTTGTTCGCATGTCAGGAACAAAATAGTATTTGTATTCATGTAAAGTTTATTACATCCTGATTACAAGAATTTCCAGGAACATTTTCATACAAATTTTATCAAAATCTGTTCAGTAATTTAATTTTTCAATCAAAGTAATTGGTTTTGTTATGATTAAAGTTAGTTTTTATTTTTATATAAAACAATCTTAAATTGCTGTATGGTCCCAGTATAGATTGGGCTAACCCTTCCTTTCCCGTGGGTGTCGTAAGACGTAACTAAGGCAACTTAATGATCAAGGGACGCGCAGCAACGTCTCTTTTTAAACATCACCCAAGCCTAACTGCGATTGCCAACCCGTTTTTCAAACGTAGCAACTACGGGCAAAACCCCTTTTATTGGAGAGGCCTATGTTCAGCAGTGGACAGTTAACGGCTGATATGATGAGTTGTATAGTTTAATTACCACAAATTTAAAGTAAATTATATTAATTTAAAAATGATTACAACAATAGAACAATAGACAATATTTTCAATGCGCTTTAATGTTATTTTGTCACGCTATATTTGTTCACCATATATGAACATGCATTTCCTTGTAATTGTGATCGCAATGTTATAATTAATATTATTATCGTTATTATTATTAAATACCAGATAAATCTGCCATTCAGTCCATGTGAATGACATGAAACGTTAACGCAACAAAAGGTTAAAACTTATTTACGTATACCCTTAGTAACGATCTCACTATGATTAAAAATAGGTTTAGTAAGAAATTTAATATTAAATAAAAAAAAAACTTCTATTTATTTTTTTAACAAGCTATCTTATATTTTACTTTTTTAATATTAGTAAATGAATTAGTAAGAACAGGAAATTATGGCAATTAATTGAAACGTTAATATGTTTAGAGAAAAAAAAGAACTTATTTTCACATTCATAATATATACTATATATAATAATAAAAACTGAGAAATCTTTAAATGACTAGGGCTAAAAATTATTCTATTACGAAATTGAATTCCAACTTACTTTTTTTTTAAAACGAATGCCACCTATATGTATCTGTAACACTGCAGGAATTGCAGGACTTTGTTACATACATATATTATTAGTAAAGACAAATTAATAAATTAAAAATTATTGATTACAGGAAATTCATGACGACTGATTAAACCGTCGACACATCAACGTTCATAATATTGTTAAATGATCACCCATTATAGTGGAATAAAATAGTAACCCCGTCTGCGTTGTATACGCTGGCGAGGCACCAGTGATAGATGATAGGTAAAAATGAAAAGGCAAGTCACTTATCCCATAGTGAAGAATTTCACGAAAATAAACCACTATGGTTTTTAGGGGGAACCGCTTGCAGGTGGACCTGTAAGGATACATTGCTAGCAATGGGGCTATTATACCTGATTACTAACAATCCAATCCACAATTGTCCAGTGTAGACATTAGATTGCAACTTACTTACAAAAGTAAGTAACAAACTTATTTTAACAATACAATATTAATAAGGACAATTAATAAGTATAGGAAATTCCACAACGATCGACCTTTAACGTAACAAGAAGTAAAACAAAAAACTCTCACATCTGTAATATTTGTAACGATTGTTCAATTATTGAAGATGGCAATGTAGCCGCGTCATGTATTTTAAAATTATTGAGGGCAGTTAATATTGCGAATCGGGAACACACATTTCTCTTTTACTGCCAATAACGAAAGATATCGCACTCCGATGAAAGGAAATATTCGTTTGTAGAATGTAGGCGTCTGGAAATAACTAAGTAGGTACGGTATTTGTAGTTGACAGTACCTTATGGACTTAGACTTATTTACGCAGAGTATATTTATAGATGGTAGATCTGAGCACTGAAATGGCTTGAATACAATATCTGAGATATCTCGCAAGCTGTCGCTGCGTCAGAAAGGCGGCCGACACTACTGTGTTTATCTAAAAATGGTTACCACTCAGTAAAGAAATCTAGACTCGCATTGGTTTGACTTAGCGTTTTATACATTTAAACTTAACGTTAAAAATTTATAATAGTTAATAATACAGCATCGTACTACTAACATAAAAGAAGGGGGAAAGGGATTGTTAGTAATGCGTACTACGAGACCCATTACTAGCAATATACCCTGTCAGACTGATCTCCACGTGGTCCCCCCTGGAAACCATCATGCTGAATTCCAGGTGTATTCATCACGATGGAGTAACTGACCCGCCTTCTCCTTCTCATCTATCATCCCTCACTGGTGTCTCGCCAGCGTATACCGTTAGCGCAGTCGGGGTTGCCATTCCATTATCATTCTTTAAAAAAAATACCATAAAAGAGACAATTTTGTATTGCATCTGTTATATTTAAATAAATAAAGGGGATGGATTTTATAAAGATTACAGAATATGCAGCTGCAATATTGACTTAAGTCTAATGAAATACTACTCAAACTTAAATGTATATTAAAAATAAATAAATAAGCACCGATTAGTCAATACTTATTTATTCTCTATGATAATATTCTCTTAAATTCTTGTTATGACTTTAGTGTAATGTCAAAATGTAAATATCTGCTGAGAAGAAACTCAGCAGTTATTTTTTAAAATCCATGTACGTAGTGTTTATGTTATTATTTATACTATATTTATAACAGTATATTTAATATATTAAATAAAGATAATATATTTATTATTATTATTTTTTATAACACAGGGGTAAACGAGCATGCAATTCTGATAGTAAGTAGCTACCGCTACTCATGATCACCTGCAATAACTAAAGGCATTGCATGTATGTTGCCGGCCTAATATATTAATAGATAATTGCACATAATAACAACGATTACAAGTACTTTAAAGTATAGAAATATACATTACCTTATGGTTCGACGGATCACACAAGACTGTTATGATATTGCCAGAATACATCGAATACCAGCTCTTATATATTATTCAACATTAATCAAATCAATATTTATCGACAATAATTTCGTAGTAAAACTAATGTTATTAATTAGTAATGTGTCGCTCCCATGTTTCAAGTAT